CATGACAGCATGGAAGATGCGACTAGAGTAATGCTAACGAGTGGAGTCCTGGGAGGTCAGGTGTAGCCTCGTGGCAAGAATACACTATGTTACTTTGGAAAAGAAACGAGTAAAACAGTAACTGGGGAGCCAACTAGTCGGGTGACACAAGGGCAGAGGAATGAAAGGGAAGAGAAGTGTGTGAATGGGGGATACCAGGAGTGAAGGACAGCGAGGTGACGAAGAAAGAGTGGGTGGGATCGACGAGCAAGCATCTGACAAGGAATACCAACATGACATATGCCCGATGGAGCAGAGCTGGAGCTACTTACGATGGCGGCTTGTGTGCCACAGGGCTGGACACCTAATCCCGTATCTCGAGCGTCAGCAAATCACCTTGCATGCGCCCACTCTTTACGGCCTCCCTTCCCACCTACTACAGGCAAGGCAGGGCCCAAAATGGAATACGCGAACCTAGCCGGGCCGCCACCATTATCAGCAACTCGGCTCCGGAGCCCACATGAGGGGAACCTGGCTAGGACGTCAGGAAGTTCGCTTGCAGAAGTCTATTCGGCTAGGAAGGTTGTTGATTCCGGTATCCGAAAGAGATTTTCATAGTAGTAATCATGCTGGTCCCACGTTAAAGATGGCTTGAAACAAAAGAGGGACCAAAACGTTGGGCGGGGCGGGGCGGTTGGCAGGGAACTGTGGCGCAGGGCCGCCTGTCTGCCTCGGGCTGGCAAAGGATTCATGCCTTGCTTTGTGTATAGTACATGCATTTACCTGTATATTAGTCACGTTGCAAAGGAAGAGTGACGGAAGATACATACAGATGTACAAAATAGAGCGTGTCTTGTGTGGCTACAGAAGATGTCTGGTTTACATCTGCTTCGTCACAGATACAAGCGTTTTCCAAGCATGCTTGCGCCGTCTTGAAAAGGCCTGTCATCAGTCTTGACGAGCGCATGCCAAGCCGCACGGAAGCGGCGGACGTCAGGGTTTTTGTGGGGGGCGGAAATTGTGATCGAATCCGCTACGCAGCGACAGCACCACAGTTTTCGTAACACGACTATGAAAATCACCCAGCAAAGACGCGAAGACAAGATCGAAATGATGACGAAGCAGAGAAAAAACGCGCGTTTTGGAATTTTGCTTTTCTACCAATCTCCCCTTTTCTTTGGGCTACATCCTGAACACGCCCCATGTGCTCTCCTTGTCGACGCGCTGGTTCTGCCCACCACATGCCATTTGCAATCCCATGCCGAGTACCCGCCGGGTGTGCTCCGGTGGTATGATTCCATCGTCCCACAGCCTGGCCGACCCAAACGTTGCTTCACTTTCGTGTTCGATTCGTGCCTTGAGCGCAGGATCCACCTTCTTGCCAACAGCCTCCATGACCGACGAAAGCTGTTCTGCGCCCATGACCGATGTCTTGGCATTCGGCCAGGTAAACATGAGCCGGGGAGAGTATGCTCGACCGCTAGAAGTAGCACGTTAGTAAACAGAAGCCAAAAGTCTAAACCGGGTGACACTTACCACATGCCGTAATTTCCAGCTCCAGCACTAGATCCCACTACTACCGTGAACTTGGGGACGTCAACACAGCTTACAGCTGTCACAAGCTTGGCTCCGTTCTTTGCAATGCCGCCCTTTTCGGCGTCCTGTCCGACCATGAAGCCAGAAATGTTTTGCAGGAAGATGAGTGGAATGTGGCGCTTGCCGCATAGCTGAACAAAATGCGCTCCCTTGAGTGAGCTTTCGCTGAAGAGAATACCGTTGTTGGCAACAATGCCGACTGGGTGTCCGTAGATCTTTGCGAACCCAGTTACCAGCGTTGACCCGTACAGTGGCTTGAACTCGTCAAACGACGATCCATCGACGATGCGTGCAATCACCTCGTGTATGGGTATCTGTCGACGCAGGTTGGTACCTACAATGCCAGACAACTCCTGGGGATCGTACAACGGCTCCTGATAGCTCGGCTGCGCAGTAACCGTCTGGTTGCGGTGCCAGTTAAGGTTACCGATGCTCCTTCGCGCCAGGACGAGCGCGTGCGCGTCGTCAACTGCCAGGTAGTCCGTAACACCAGAGACCTCACTGTGGAGCTTACCTCCGCCGAGATCCTCAGCTGAGACGACTTCGCCCGTGGCTGCCTTGACGAGAGGTGGTCCTGCGAGGAAGATGTGGCCTTGGTTCTCTACGATAATGTTCTCATCACTCATGCTAGGCACATAGGCGCCACCTGCCGTGCATGGCCCCATTACCACACTTATCTGCGGGATGCCCATACTTGACATGCGTGCCTGATTGTAGAAGATGCGGCCGAAGTGGTTCACGTCTGGGAAAACATCGGCTTGGTTGGGAAGATTGGCGCCTCCAGAATCCACCAGGTAGATGCACGGTAAGCGGTTCTCCTGCGCAATTGTCTGCGCTCGCAGGTGCTTCTTCACGGTAATGGGGTAGTATGTGCCTCCTTTGACTGTGGCGTCGTTTGCAACCACCATGCATTGAACGCCGTTGACGCTGCCAATGCCCGTGACAATGCCACCTGCAGGTACGTCATCTTCGCCATACATGTCATAGCCTGCCATTTGGCTCAACTCGAGAAAAGGTGTGCCAGGGTCAATCAGGCCAGAGATTCTGTCCCTAACCAACATCTTGCCTCGTTGTATGTGCTTGTCCCTCGCCTTTTGCGGGCCGCCCTGCGCGATCTTGGTGTGGAGATTGACGAGCTTCTCAGTTGCTTCGTCCATCTGGCGCCTGTTCTCCTTGAAGTCGGCATTGCTTGTGTCGACGTTTGTAGGGATAACTGAGACGGCCTCGGCATGGTGTGAATGTGTAAAGGTAGCGGCGTTGCGCGTCCCTTGATGCAAGTGCCCAGCTCGTGATTGCGATAGTGTTGTAGGGCGAGAAGGGGATGAGAGGAGACAGCGCTGTGCCTGCGATCGGATGGCTGCGGCGGGTCGAATTGTGTTCTTGAGAAGTGCCAAAGCCTCACGAGAAGGTGCTTTGGGGACCATCTTGGGCTATGGAATTCTGTGCTCTGGGATTATGGATGAGTGGGTAATGTTTTGCACCACATGCAGATAAAAGGTGGCACCCCGCACAATGAGACAGAAGAAACAAATACTGGAACTTGGCCCGATTGACGGCCCATCCAAGGCCGCGATGGCTGTTTACCGAACTGTGTCGAAGCTGGGGCTCCGATGACATCTCAAGACCGCTGTTAGCCGTACCGCGGCTCTGCGGGGAAGACACGCTAGTCACAACAAGCAGGTCCTTTGAAATTATTCAAGTGCATCACATTCAAACATTGAAAAGTTATTCTCATTCAAGTCGTCTCGATCAGATAGAAAAATGAACAGACTTGTGTATATAATGACGGCACTTGCTTACAGCTTGCCGCCGTCCACAGGCATCTCAACCACTTGGTCTAAGCCTTCATATTTGGGTATATCAAGATTGTACTTCTCTGCCATCTCTGGGCTCAGGAACCTGCCACCAAGAAAATGACGACCAGAGAAATTCTTAATAAGTGGTTTGGGTGCTGTTAAGCTGATGAGTGCTGGCGGCATGAAGCCCTTGCCTGGTCCCGAGTCTCGAGGGCCCTCTTCAATGTCCCAGGATGAGGGCGCATCAACCGATAGCACAGGAACAGAGGTAGACGCAAGCGCCTCGATGACCTTTGGAAAAGGTTCACGCACTTCCCCAGAAAAGCTGAATCCAAAAATGGCGTCGACAATGTGATCAGTTTGTTTCAGCGCGCCAGCGAAGTCTTCGGTGAATGGCACTTTGAGGTCTTCCAACTGTTTCTTGAGCCGCTGCGACATGTGAGCATATATGAGACAGCATGTCTTTTCGACCATCATCACTCACCTGGTAAAGCTCGTTTTTGCTTTGCTTGGGGTAGTAGATTGTGGGTTGGTAACCGTAGTGAAATAGATGGCGAGCTGCGACAAGGCCATCGCCGCCATTGTTGCCAGGACCACATGCGACCAGGATGCGCTTGCCTTTGCTGAGAGGTTGTAGTTTGAACACTTTTTTGATTAGTCCAATCATGGAAAGGAATATCAGAGTTTAATATACCAGCTTGCGATACCGAAAGTCCGGCAAGCTCCATCAACTGATCGATAGAGAACGCGCCAGTCGACATAAGTTCTTGGTCGAGCGCTGCAGCGCTTTTGGCCGACAGAGTCTATTAGAACGTTAGCCTCTACACAGAGTATCACTGCGTCAAAGACTCACTCTGATTGCCATTTCGGGATTTGTAGAGAAATCTGCGTAAAATGGGATGAGTGTGGTGTTCAGGAGATCAATGAATGCATCGGGTAGGTACGACATGGTGCTTGCAATTACATCACTGGTCTCGACTGCGCATCTGGTCAGAGCAGTCCACCGCACCCTCCTTTTGTGTGTGCAATCCCCGACCCAACGTAGTTATGTGAACTCGTCGCAACATGGCAGAAACCAAAAAAAACACATGAATCTTTCAATTTTTTTCTAATTTATTGAAGAGAAAAACATCTTCCAAACGTTGAGCTCACTTGTTTATACTGCCCAGATACATGATAGGGTAAGAGAAGGGTTCAGGGTACTCTATAAGAATCTAGCGCTCTTACAACATTCAGGTAAAATAGCTCCTGAATGCTTCGGAAATCTTTAGAGATGAGGCCTTTCGTGAGACAGAGTCTCGTCGCATCCTGATACCCCTTGCCCATCCTTGAGGCCAATTTGGGCACTTCACAATCCACAACGTAATCTTGAAATTCCTTGGCAGAATGACCCTTGTATCCAGCGACTTAAGATGCTCTTTGCTATACATTCTTGATACTTTCTCTCAAGCCGAGCTCCAAAAGGAGAATTCCCAAGCTGTATTGACCATGAGTATAATCAAATGATATTTTGCTCGTATTGGAAGTTGATGATGCTTGTGTTGTTGTTGTCTGTACCGCGGCTGGCAAACCTTGCACGTCTGGATGGCGATAAAGATTGTATTCAAAATCATCCGTGACGCCTTCTGTTTAGTGGGGATCAGATGCTTCCCTGCTATATTCGAATCCTACAACAAAAGATTGGTCATAAGAGAAACCACCGTTATTCTCAGCGAAAAAGAGTATGTTGTCGCTCCGGATGCCCTTGTGAAGCCAACCAGCAAGATGTATGTACAACAAAGCTCGGGAAATGTACCCAGAAATGTGATACCAGTCTCCTGCGTCAAGGTCATGTCCGTTTCCTTCGAGGATTTGCGGTAAACATTAATAGTTTGTTCCGAGGATATTGAACACAGGGCCGTGCTCCAACTTCTCATCAACCAGATGCCTTGTAACTACCCCAATACATGGTAGTATACGCAGCTCTGCAGGCTTATACTCGGCCTTGAGAAGTCTCGCCAAGTTCCTGATTCGGTATTGTAGCATCGTTTTATACATCGCTCTCGAGTCATTTGGCAGGCATTTTACAGGATCTACGAGCTTCCATTCTATTAGCACGCCTAGTGTAGTGCCATTCTTGGTAAAGAAGGCGTAGCTCCGACCAGATTTGTCCTCTCTTGCACCAGTCTCTTTCAGAAACCGTTCCTTCTCCTTTACATTCTTACCGCCAAGAACCGTCTTTCGGGCATCCGTTTCTATGATTGCAGACTTGAGGAGGGCCAGCCCCTGCAGTTCCAAGTTCTCATCCGACTGTGAGCTTCAATGCTTGTAGCTTTGCTAGACTCATTGTGGCCAAAAGATTACTCAATGCCAGTTTTGCTGCAGGATGAACTTTCGGGGGCGTGAAAAAGTCGAGCAATTCATCAACCAAGCTCTTCAACTGGTCAAGAGCCTTCAATGGCCCGCTGTCATTAAGCGCCCACTTCATTTTTTCTTTCAGTCCAGCAGCAGTCTGTGCGCTTCTTAGTTTTTCTTCGAGATCTGTTCGCTCTGTCGAGTTTGGATTGGCCATGTTAAGCAGTTTCGTGATGAATGAGGCGGCGAATATGGATGTGTTACCGGCCGAAGAGATTGCCGGGAAATCCTGCCCCAGCTTTCCGAGCTCATGCAGGAAATGATAGATGAAAACGACGTATCTCACCGCAACATCTCCGTGCTCCTGGAAACACCTGTCTTTGAGATGCATGGAATTAGCGCCGCGGTCTAGCCCCCATTCCACGCTCCAAGTCTTCAATTTTGCCGCTTGCATTTCCAGTCTTGCTTGGAATATTTCAGCTTCATCAGCAAGTTCTTCTCCTTTTCTCCATAATTCGAAGCTCCTCACGCAACCCTGGAAGACTTGAACATAAAGGCTTGCTCCACCAACTACACCACTACAATCGAAAATCCAGCAACAAACGTCAGTTTCCATTAACGTGACCATGACATCCTGTCACTACTTTCTATATTCACTCGCTCTCATCGGACATTAACAGTGAGACTTTTGCTCGCCGGAGTCCTCATTCACGACCAGAGTTTCGAAATGCTGCCCCCCATCAGTCAAGGTGCATATTTCGAAGTATACAGTATTCCTTTCCAGTCTTTGACAGGAACATACTTGCCTCTGAGCTCTCCAGAGGTGCCTGGAAAGTTCCTTCCAGAGATCGTCGCTGTCAAATGCCCAAAGATAATGGGCGAGTTGTGCGACAAGCGAAATCAAAAGCTGTGGAGTTGCATGGAGTTGCAGATACTGCGAAACCCACATATCCAAGAATATGAAAACATCGTTTCCGTTCTGGGAGTCTGCTGGCGATCAATAAGACGCCAGACCATGCCGGCTTTTGTTATGGAGCTGGCCCATACAAATCTCGAAGCAATGATGCAGTCCGAAGGCTTCACAATCGATAAGATGAGTACCCGCAAAGCCTTTGGACTTGCCATCGATGTCTGCGCCTGCGTATCCGCACTCCACGAAGTTGGCATCATACAAAGCGACATCAAGCCTGCCAACGTCCTGATATTCAAACATCCAGAACTCAAGTTCGTCGCCAAAATCTCCGATTTTGGCTCATCATTGCTGAAAACAGATATCAAAGAGCTGATTCGTCTTCCATTCAAGAGTGGGATCTGGCAAGCCCTAGAGTGCAAAAAGATTCTTGACGGTGAAAACCTTATCAGCGCAGATACATTTTCTCTTGCACTTCTAGTGTCATATATTCTCAGCAGAGGATACACTATGGCAATTTTTGAGAATCATGGATCTAAAACGCCATCTGAACATCCTGGGCAGTCTAGGCCATACGATTGGTACGAACTGTTTGAGCCATCTGAAGATGACATTCAAGGAATTTATGATAAATCGGCGCAATACACCTATCATACATTGAGCTGGTTTCTAAGGACTGTCATCGAAGCCGAAGAGAATAAGTGCTATGGACTGGCTGCTACACAACAGCCAGATGAAATGACGGATGATCCTGGGGAACACAAAGAAGCTGAGGATGCTACTGATGAAACTTCACATTTCAAGCCCATTGCCCAGATTGCGCATACAGTAGGGGAGACTGTCACGTCTCATCTTTTTTTCAACCTTCACTTAGACCAAGAAGTAATATTCTACACCAGAATCTACGAATATGCCTTAGCTGGATTTTCAGTAGAGATATTCTAAACCCCTTGAACCATTGTGACCGTGCAACAATGAGGCGTTTCATTCAAACGACAGACCTAAACCCGCAGAAACACGAGATATTGAATAACCCAGGTAAGAGAAATTTTATAGGCATTGACGCGACTTGCTCATTCGTAAATCAAACGATCGAAAGCCCGACAGAAGATGATAAGGCGCGCGCCTGGAGTTTCGCACGAACGACCGAGTATATCGACAGAAGGTCTTACAGCATATCCCACAAACAAAACCTCCCACAGCTCGATGAAATAACCCAATCCGAGTCTACTCATAGAATCCCTGAGATAATAAAAGCCTGGTGAGAGTCAAAGCCTATCAGCGGTCTCAAAAGCTAAAAGTAACAGGAAAAGACATGAGCTTCCAAAACCAAAAGAGATGTACTCAATACATGATGCTGGTGCGGTTTTCGAGGTATGAGATGAATGAAAGATTTAATGCCCTCAATATAACGTTGGAGCAGGCAGATATGTCGCCTGGCACTCTGAAAATCTTTCCAACTCTAGTCGTGAACTAAATTGTTGTTAAAATGACAGCCGTCGCGCACGATGAGCGAGAAGACAAGCTATGTCGAGCAAAAGCTGCATGGCAGTGCTCTATTCTTCAGTTAAGAATGAGAAAGATAGAGAAAAGCAAACACGATGAACTCAACTCAATACTTCAATTAATGCTTCTTGCCGCTCGATTAGGACATACTGTAGCTGGCGGGATGGTTGGGTGGCTTTGTGCTGTATTCGAGCTGGAGCTGTCGGTTTCCCTAGAAGAAGAGAAGCAATGGCTTTATGCAGAAATCTGTATAGGCAACTCTACAGCACGAAGGCGATTGTCATCCCTCGATATGGAAGAATGCCAGCGGGCAGTCTCACATCTTCGTTCTCAATACGCTGGGATTGGACTTGCAGCGCCCCGCAACTACTATTACTCAGACTGAGTAAACAATGATTCTTTATTCAGGGTCACTGAAGATTCACCTAGCAGTCTTGGATCCATTTTCCAACTTGCCGCAACTGGGGGCCGCTACGAACTTGTCCATCGTATTATCATTTCGAAAGTTCAACATATGAACATAAACGAACTATTTGAGGGAAATGAAAGTGTTTTGTTAAAGGCATGTCGATCCGGATTTGCTGAGGTCACTCTTCTTCTGCTTGAAAAAGGTGGTGATCCCACTTTGGCAAACTACGAGGGAGTTACCCCGTTACACTTCCCGAGCTCCTTTGATGAAGAATATATCCCAAAAATCACAGATGCACTGACAAAGGCAGGGGCAGACCGAGAAGCTCGTTCGCACCAAAGGTGGCAATACAAGCGGTGCATTGACTCAACATATGGGACCATTGAAGGTACTCTATTAACTTGGGCTATCACCGCAGGTAATGAAACAGCCACTCAAGCACTCATGGACATCGGGGCAGACCCTTTTGATTTGAAGGGAAGAGAGATAGAGTATGATGACGCTTGGGCCAACAACATCCATGTTTTTCCCGTATGGTAGGCTTGCATCAACTGTCAATACCGACTCCTCGAAATCTTACTTGAGGCTCCAAAAGACTACTCTGAAGATCTAAATGCAGTCTACCGCAAGTTTGGGAGTCAAGGCATGAAGGAGCCGTTCGCAATTCTGGGCTGACTTGTCACTGATGAGAATTCCAGCACTTTCAATCAGGCTCTTATCCATGGAAGTGATTACGAGCAAGCTCTCCAAAGAACCTTCGAAATTCTTATCCGCCATGGAGCAAACCCGCTAGATATCAATGGCAAGGGACAATCCGTCGTTGTATCTGCTCTGGGACGAAGTCAACCGTACATATTGGACTATTTGATAACTTGGCAAGACGGGAAATTACAGCCAAGTAGCTCGCAATGGATACGCTGTCTTTGGATTGCCTGCTCTCCTCAAGACAAAGCGGCATTTCAGTCGCTTGTTTCCCATTCGCAAGCAGATAAGATCTCTTCGCAGTAGTGGGATGAATTCTTTGTCGCGCTGCACACCCTGCCCGACGACACTGAATATCTCAACCACCTTGACCATTACTGCAGGTCAGAAGCCAACTTCCACAATACATTTCAAGAATGCGCTTGTTAAGGGAAAGTATGTTATAGCTCGTTGGATCTATGAAACGCGAAAATGCGACTTGACCAGAATGACCGATGGGACGACGATTCTAGGCAGATTTATTGTGTCATCCAATTCATATAGCAATTCTTCCCGCCATATTGATGTTTTCCTAGACATGGTTGATACAGATGCTGTGTACTACGATGTATTTGAACTTGATGGGCCGAAAATGTCTGCAGTACATGAAGCTGTTTTTATGTTGGAATACCGACCCGGCTCGTCTCACTCTACTTCGACGCTCCAAAGTATTTTCAGACGCAAGTATGAGCCAGAATACTTGAATTTGACTATTTCCGAAGGCGGATACAAGAGAAGCACGGCATTACGTCTTGCCGTAGAAACGTGCAATGAGGTAGCTGTACGTTATCTCCTTGACGAGGAGGGAGAAAGCTTGGACTTTTCACTGTTAGACCACAGGGGCAACAGTCTCATAGATCTTGCAAGCTTCCTCTGGAAGAACCAGGCCTCACAAATGGAAGCCTAGGAGACGCCCGAGGAGAAACGTGAGGAGGCTAACCAACGTCACTTTGAAAGCCCGATGTTGATATTACATATGCTCTACTCCACAAAACGTGCACGGTCTAGGAGAATTCTAGCATCTGTCACTAAAATCGAAGTCGATGAGCTTATGGTCATTTTGTATGATCCAGAAGAGTTCAAGATGATAAAGGTTCAATGCCCAGGTACAGTCAATCCCTAATTGAAGCTTACCACGGAAACCCGCTTACACATGTCCAGTATTCAATGGCTTGTCGCCCACGCAAATCATGCGTCTTGGTGCAATGTACCCAATTCAAGCGCGCTGGGACCTCACTCTAATATGGCCTCAGATGGTTGAGCGTGGTCCCCGGCTCCTAATCAACAGCTCTTTCTTCCTTTTCAATACCACGGAAATGTCTGAAGAGTAGTTGGACAGTCTTTCATCTACTGAGAATATCATCCGTCGAGAGCAATACTGGAGTAATCCAAGTGGTGATCACTCGGACATGGTTCTCACCATGCAGAATCTCATGGTAGACATGAGGGATCAATCTAGTTGATCAAGCTGAGGGCTCAGATGGATTTGGTTGATCTCTATTTTTGGTGATATTTTAGCAATATTTCAATTGAGGCTTGGCCAACATTACCAAGGATTGGCAATTAGGAGATTTTTAATGAATATGCAACAAATTGCGCTAATAGACAACCTACTTCCCTGGCACGAATATCAACACATTTAATTGCCGCAAAACACACTCCACCAAAATCCCAAGGATATCTCCACAAACCTACACAAGTCGATATGAATAACGCTAAGCCCAAATAGTCACAAACAAGTGGGGTTATGCATCACCGGCAGATCTTCGGGCTCCGCCCCAAAAAGATCCCCAAACCACCACCATTACATCCATCCTGCCAAACACCCGTCCGGTCGCAACAGCGTCCTCACATACACACGCCGCTAAAACAATGGTATTAAGAATACGCCTCGCGCGCTTCGGCAAGAAGCACGCACCCTTCTACAACATCGTAGTCGCACACGCCCGGTACGCCCATTTCGCAATTGCACTCGTCAACCTCACAGTCCAATTGCCTCTCTCTCCCACACTTACACAGCCCCTCCCTTCACTCTCCCCAAAAAGCGCCAACAAAGAAGAAAGAATAAATATCCATACAAAATACTAACACCCAACCCCAGCACAGCACGCAACTCGCGCCCCCTCGAAGTCCTCGGGACCTACGACCCGAAACCCCAACCGCCCCGCCCCGGCGACACGCACGGCCGGCCCTGGAAAGACATCAAGCTGGATATAGCGCGGGCGCGGTACTGGGTCGGTGTGGGCGCGCAGCCAAGCGATACGGCGTGGAGGATACTGAGCATGGTGGGGATTCTGGAGCCGCAGTACCGGGTGGGACAGGTGCAGGGACAGGTGATTAAGGCGGATTCGGCGTTTAAGAGTTTGGTGCCTGAGAAGAAGGCGGAGGCGTAGAGGGCAGAGGGGGGGGGGAGGGTGGTGGAAGGGGGAATTGTGTGGGTGTGGGTACGATATTCTATGTACGTGGGAGGGCATCACGAACGGCGTTATTCGAGGAAATTTTCGATACTAAGAATGGAGGAGAGAGAGAGAGAGAGAGAGAGAGAGAGAGAGAAAGAGAGCCATATTGTTCTATTGCGAGAAGAGCAAATAGAGTGTACATTTGTAAGAATACAGCAAAACATGATCACCAACATAGATCCGCACGCGCGGCCTAACCGCTCACAAAAACCAAACACAATCTACTTTGCTCGCAGACCAACTCCACCCCCCTCCCAAAAAAAAAGAAAAAAACTCCCGCTAAATGCAAAACAATGCCTAGCAACATCCCCACGGTGGCTCTCAATGCGCAGCCGCGACTAAAAAGGTATTCGTAATCAAACAAGTCACCATAACAATGACACCGTAAATGCTCAGTGCAAGCGCCATCTTCCTCAAAAGTCCCCTTCTAAGATCGCGATTCATATGCCCCTCTCGCGTGACATAGCCCTCGACCTCACCACTCTGAAACTCGTCTTCGTCATCCTCGTCTTTGATGAGGCGCTGGTGGTGAGTAGACTCTGGATCAGAAATCTTGTAGTAAAACAGGCCTGGAAGAATAAAGGAAATGGTAGTTGAACCCGTGGACCCGACATACGCCAGTACCTTTTCCAGGCTGGTAACGGTCATGGCGGTAATGAAAGACAGGACGATGAGAACGGTAGAGATGATTGCGAATCGGAGATCGCTCATTTCGGCGCTCTTGGGGGCGCCGGGCTTGGGCGCGTTGTTCATTAGGCTGGCACGTGACGGACTGCCTTCGACCTGTTTGCGCGTACCGCTGGGACGCCACTTGAGACAGGCGTCGATGCTAGCGCGGCAAGGGTGGATTTGTAAGGGGTATGAGAACATGACTAAAATGACAATGGCAAGTCGACCGATGGTGCTAGCGGCTGCGGTAGGGTACATGGATACGATGTTGCCGTGGATATTGTCGCCATAGGAAAGGTAGCCGGTGATGCCAGTCAAGATGTATAAACTGCATGCGCCGCCAATAGCAGCGAAGATGACGGTTGTTGTTCGAAAGTGAGAGTTGTCGGCAATCTCGTTGAGAATCGAAAACATGTTCTGGTGGCATGTGTATGCAAAGACGATGACGGGGAACGCAGCGAGGGCAGGCACAGTACCGGCCCATTGAAACACGCGGACTTCTCCTCGGTCTGCAATGGTGTCGCCTTTAATGTAGTGCGCTACAACCAGAATGACGAGGTATGCGATGGAGAAAAGGGCAATTATGCTCGTGTACTTGAGCGAATCCAAACGGCGAAGGAAGGACAAGGGAATGACGACAAGCCTAGATATGTTAGCTCACGGATCTGTGGTACGTTTGTATGGTGCTTACATGAACGCAGTGATCCAAAACTGTCTATCGAACAAGAACACCATGTGTGCAGCGCCTGGCGCGAAGCCTCTGACCACTCCCGGCATCAAATCTCCAATGATGATCAGGTAACTGACTGCCACACCGAAGCACTTGATCGCGATCGCGGCATCGAACAGGATAGAGAGGTTCGGGTAGGTCATCTGAGACAGCGTCGCGAATGATACATGGCCGCGATCGATATACCGCGCGCATCGAGTCTGGAGGTATAAACCAAAACCCGCGGTTGTGCCAGCCCACGCGATCACGAATATACCGAGGAAGATGCCCATTTTCGAGAGGGCCGATGGCATGGCGAGAAGACCAGCGCCAAGGACTATGATTTTTAGTACTTATGGCAGCGAGTATCCACGGACAAGAACATACTGGTGTTGGCCAGGTTGATGACACTCGAGATCCACGTCGCCTCTCCCTTGAATCCAGCATCATGCTTGCCTCTACCTCGCCTGCTACTGTCAGCTTGTGTCGGACAGGCTCTAAAGATGCGCCTCTGACCTTCTTCCTCTTAGCGATCCGATACTTGAAGACATGGGGTCTTCGTCTGCTGGCTCGGGGCTGATCGCGGAGTAGGTAGCCATGCTCTCTTGGAGGGTGTAGAGTGTACGGTAGTTGTTATTGCAAGCGCATACGGTTGATGCCAAAAAGCAATACGGTTGACGTGTGAAGAAACGGTCGCCAAAGTGTTGCGATAAGATAAGGGAGGCTGTGCCTGGGGATGACAAGTGAGGTTGGAAGGGCTCTGCTGACGTTTAACGTTAGACACAAGGCAAACGCGTTCGGGGAGGTCTCGGAGGCAGATAAGCAGATAGTAGCCGCCCGCTAAAACCCAGGCTCCGATCCGCTTGCGTTCACTAGCTGGGCAGGAACGCGATCTGCGTCGGCAGACAAGACATATCCAGCAATTCACCACGGCCATGGACGAATACGAGGAGGCAGTTCTTTTCACGTTTTCGCTACTAGAATCACGGCTGGATCGCCTGGAATATGTTCTTGGAGGCCCACAGGAAGTGGCCAAGGACAAGCCGAGGACAATATCGGATAGGATACACAAGATTGAGCAGTCATTGCAGCAGCTAGCGGGCAAGACTGCACTGCTGGACGAAGCCAATAGTCTACGTATGTAAAGTTAATAGGTGAGCCGCTTCTTAGAGCTGACGAGACAAGTAAGCAAACACAAAGACGTGCTCAAGCCTCAGGTCGACCACGAGGACGACGACTACGAGGACGAGGACAACGCTCCCCTTGACACTGCATATAAGACGGCACTGGTCGTAGAACGCGCGACTAGCTTTGCGACGACTGCGTCACAGCTCAAGGCACTCGAAGATCAGCACATACCCACGACGGATGGTTTCACCAAGCTTGCAGCGCTGCGACCGCGGATTGCCGAGGCAGAGGAGCGTCAACTTCAACAAGCACTCAAGATGTCAGAGTTGAGGCGGAGGAACGGGCTCATTAACCAGAGGTACAGGCAGGTCATGGTGCTGGGAGCAGGCAGGTGCTGGGTGGACTACAACGAGAGGCTCACGCAGGCACTGCGAGCATTAGTCAGGGAGGAATACAGACGGCGGCCCGAGGACGAAAAGGATAATGGTGATGAGGGGGCGCATGAGGAAGAAGGACCAGAAGAAGAAGATGCCGAGGACGACGAGTTGTGAGAACTGTCAGCACTGTCGCAAGATTACGTTGGGCGACATGGAGCAGTGGGAAAAAAGAAATTACCGGCGCGGGTAAGTCGAGAGCCACGATGGGCCCCTTGAACGGACGAAGAGGTGGATATTGGTTGTAAATGTGTATGTAGATGCATGTTAGGTTGACGTGGCGCAGTCCTTGGGGATAGGGTAATGTGCATGCATGCAGGAGTTTTCTTCTTCTACACCCTGTGGCAGATGGGGGTAATTAGGAATGAGAAAAAGGCATTAGGTGGCTACTGTCGGGGCGAGTTGTCGTCATGACAGAGGGGCATTGTTGAGGAAGCAGGCACATGGACATGCAACAGGGCGGATGGTGCCGGGACCGGATGTCAGGTACGCAGATTTGAGTTTGGTCGACGAAATAGGACGGGAGTTGTGAGGCGTTGGCATGCAGGGGTAACGGTGCTGTCGGGTGATTGGATGGTGGGGGTAGCGAAGAAACATTGTGCCATGTCATCGAGGCAGATGGTCAAACATGACGATGCTTGATAAGCGCCTGGTAGGCGGCCATGATGTCGAGGTGATGTTGTGTAGGGCTGCGGAGAGAAGTTTGCCGTAAGAAGGCGTTTCAGCGGCGTCTCGAATCATCTGGCGAGGCCCAAAGCGTCGTGGCGGCGTGGTGAGGGCTTGGCTAGAAGCTGCACGCACCAGGAACAAGACGTATGTCTGTGCAGTGTGGCTTGTACCTGACGAGATTGATACTTGATTAAGACGAAGACGATGACGAGGGCGCTGCTGACATGGCCATATTGGCTTCACAGGGGACATGGTGCCGACGACGATTCTTTGCGTCGAGGGCGGGCCAGTCGCGGCAGACGGGCCCCGATTGATGGGGATAATCAAAGAGGCAGCCGCTATGCCTAGGCGGGAGTGGCTGTTCTCTGCCCTGAAAGGCGTGGTTCGCGATGAGTTCGGAGGGATACTGCAGGGCACTCGACGGTGCGCTCAGGAACCCCCCCTGGCATGCTGGCGGTAATGGCCTTTGTGCCAGTCGGTTTCGCCCAGCCAGCAGAAGCAAAAACCAGGCAACGAGCGTCACAGCGGGGGCGGGCGCGAGGAGGAGAGAGAGTGGACTGCAGCATCTGCTGTGTGCTCTGCTGTCGCCGTGGTTGTGGTTTGATTGTGCTCGTTGTCGGCAGCTCTCCGGGGTGGAGGGCAGGGCTAATGCAGTCGACGCGCGTGTTCAGTCGAGTGTGTCCAGGCCCTCTGGCTGAGCTGGAGCGGTACCATTTTAATCCATTTTAATCTGCATACGAGTGGGACCCGCCGCAATCCCCGACCGACCCTGGGCGACCTGGCCGGCCAATGGCGCGCCCCAGCCTGCCCGACTTGAAACCGTCGCATCTCTGCCCTAAGCACCCGTTGCCAAAAGCCCTCGACACCCTCTCCATTGACCTGTTTGCTTGCCTGTTAGCTGTGCTGCGCTGTACCCTCCCCTCTTTTTGCAGCCGCCGCCCTATCGCTGCTCGACACCACACACACTCCCACACACACGCATCATTGTATCCGTCCATCCATCGGTACATCCATACTACATACATACCCCCTCGCTGCGCCTCGCTGTCGTCGCTGGACCAGACCCTGACACCGCGCGCCCACACCCTCATTCACTCGCCCCCATCCATCGCAACCACCGCCAACAGTATATGCCCTCGTCCCACGCAGCCACATCCACCTCGTTCGCAAAAATGGAAAACGGAGGCTACGGCCAGAGGTCGTCGGGCTTCAGTTTCGGCCGCATTGTTGGCGACCCTTTCGCCCTCGCCACAATCTCCATTGGCATCGTGAGTCGCTCCTGCCCATCCGCCCTCGCGCCTTCCCTCGCTAACCTCTGCCACAGCTTGCCTGGATCATCTCCTTTGTCAGCTCCATAATATCCGCCATTCATGGCGGCTTCCCAAACTTCGCATGGTGGACTCTTGTCTTCATGTTCTTCTGCATTGTCGGCGTCACCGTCACAGTCGCTTCAGATGCTGAGCGGACTTACCATGTTGCCGTACGTTCTCCTCGCGCTCAATATTCCCAGGGCCGCCCGTGCTAATTCGCTCAGATTGTTGGTTTCCTTGCTGCTGGCCTCGTCTTCACTACCTCGTCTGTCAACTCGCTCGTTTACTCACCTGTCACCCCCTTCGAGGCTGCTGCCGCCGGCTATATTCTGCTCTCCATGATCGCGGTAAGGCATACACACCCTACCAATTACTGACCACCACTGACATTGTCCAGATTGTCTGGATCTTCTACTACGGATCGCAACCACAAGCCAGCCACCGCACTTTTGTCGATTCGTATGCCCTTAACAAGGAGCACCCAGGCTCTCGCTCGTCCCGACCAATTTCCAACGGCTACACGAACCGTCCTGAAACCCAGAGCGCCGCCCCCCAAATGTACACATCCGCCCAACTCAACGGCTTCGAGACCTCCTCTCCCGTGTCCGGTTACCCCGGGGGCCCCACTGGCGCAAACGCCCGCAACTCGTCCGCCCCACCCTTCGGCGGTATCCCCTCCCAAGTACAAAACGACGAGGCTCAGCAAGAAGCCACCATCGAGTATCCCTACCGCGCGAAGGCCATCTACAGCTACGAGGCCAATCCAGATGACGCCAACGAGATCAGCTTCCAGAAGCACGACATTCTCGAAGTATCCGACGTCAGCGGACGGTGGTGGCAGGCTAAGAAGCCAAATGGTGAGACTGGTATTGCGCCCAGCAACTACCTCATCTTGTTATAAAAGACTGGCTCTTTTGGCTTATGCCATTACGACCCGCCATGACCTTTTCCTTGCACTCATTACCTTTCATGTGCGCACTCTGTCTCACACTTCTGGATACCTTTCGCCGGCCGTTTGACTGCCTCGACCAGGCTCTTAATCGACGATCCGTATTGATTTCACGTGCTGAGCTTGCTTGTTAGCTGAGCAAGAGGAGGGCACCCTAGCAACCAGGCGTTTGTGGACTGGCCACCGCTACCCTTGTGCGTTTGGCGGCCACTCTTCTGCACGATACCCCAGTTTCCTTGTCAGAATAATTTCAAATCTGTGTCCCCTTTCCCATTGCATACGCCTACTGTGTGCGCCTTTCCCTTCTTTACTCTATTCCGTCTTGTTTTTTTTTTCCTACACATTCCATTCCCCCTTGTTATACTATCTAGGTTCGTTTTGCTGGGGCTTTTGAAAACGCATAGAGCAGCTGTGATTACCCAATAGCTGTTAGTCTGCCTGTTTTCTATTGGCGCATTAGGTATCTTATCTACCGACCTTGTATCTTATATTCTGCTGATTTTCATTGCGTGAGAAGAGAAGAGAGCTGGTGAATGCACTCCACAAAATGAGTTGGAGACAGAAGTCGCACATCAAGTCATGTTGGGTCATTTTGTTTTGTACGTATCCCATGCCCGGATGTTCTGACGGCCAGAGAAGGTGAAGAATCGGTGGCCGCTTTCAGTGTCACGCATGACAGTGTCACGCATGAGGATGTTTTCTTTTGAGTCAAAATCAGATTGGTGTAACAATGAAGCAATCAAGGGCTTTTTATTTTCTACCGAGTGCTTTTCATCTTTTAGTGGCTGCTTGTCCGTGTTCGTCATGCCTTTGTCGAGATGCAAGGAACTTGAGGAGGGCTTGTAATGGATTAATTGTTCAGCATAAGTCCAAGCGTGAACGACAACTTCGCAGACGGGTAATATCTGTAGCAGTTGTAATATTTGTCCAAGTCTTTTAGTTGCGTACCCCACAACCGAGTGGAGATGACATGAAATAATCAAGTCGTCATCCAGGTTCTATCGTTCCCGCATCCTTATCTTATCGTCAACTCTTATCATCTCGATTGCGATACATTAAGCGTGCTATGGTTCTATAATATCGCTGCGTCATAATACCTAGAACTCAATTAATATAGTTCTTCTTTGTGCTGGAATTATTTCACAGACGAAGAAGATGCCACAACCCACCTTCCCATTTCATCACCCGCTCAACTGTCAAAGCGGGGCTGCGGAACCATGGCCTGCCCTCTGCGGGGCAAGCTCCGTCCACTATCTAGTGGCTCAAGTACACACCTGGTCATCATAAACCCAATTTATTAATCATTCCAAGAATAACTTTTGCACATCAAACCCCGCAGCTCTCACCACATACTGAACACGTCCTGTCATCACTGTCACCACAACCATGTCCGCCGCCCAAGCCCTCCGCGAAAAGCAAGCCCCCATCAAAGAAGGCTACCGCAACGACCCTTCATCCGCAGTCGTAACCCTAAAATCCACAGGCTCCCTAGACAGCCACTCAATTACATGCAAACTCTCTGACAGCCCCGCCATCAAAGAAGCCCACCGCGTCGCCGGCCTGCACCAAAAAGCCGGCGGCGACGACCCTGCCATCTCAGGCGAACTCTGCTCGGGCGACATGCTCCTCGACGCCCTCGTCGCCTGCTCTGGTGTAACCCTCAAAGCCGTTGCCACGGCCCTCGGCATCCCCATCGTCTCTGGCACCGTGACTGCGGAGGGCGACTTGGATTTCAGAGGTACCCTGGGCGTGGATAAGACGGCGCCTGTGGGTCTTACGGGGATTCGACTGGATTTTGCGGTGGAGTTTGGGAAGAGGGAGGATGGGAGGGTGATTAGTGAGGAGGAGGTTGAGAGGTTGGGGAAGTTGACGGAGAGGTATTGTGTTGTGTTGCAGACGCTGGTGCATAAGCAGAGTATTGGGGTTAGGCTGGTGGGGAAGGGGGGTGGGAAGGAGGAGGAGGGGGTGAGGAGGGAGGTTTCGCATCAGAGTACGTTGTAGGTAGATGGTTAGTTGCGAGTTTTTGGATTGCTCAGTTGATTGTGGTTTCGTTGGCACTTGATTAGGAAAAAAAGGGGGGGTCATGTGAGGGTTGTGCTAAGTTCCAAAACATGAAAAGAAAAAGGGCCACAAATTCAACGATTATGTAGACGCGAATTTCTAAAATCTCATCTTTAATTTTAAAATTATATATCTAGAAACAATAGCAACCAAGTCTCAGAAGCATATATGTATGACGTTCCTCAGCACATTTCTCCACTTAATCACTAGGAAAGAATTCAAAAGAAAAATAAAAGCTCATACATCTATATGTATCTAACCCTATCCGTACCACACCTACGCCTTTCTCTAGCCTCTCTTAACCTACATCTGAAACGCCTTCTGCAAGATTCCTCTTAGCAGTACCAAGTACATATGTGCAAATCAGTATCTTATCCTTTCCTTGCCATTTCCCCTATAGAGAAATATGTCAAGTACCACCACTGTATGTTTCCAAAGTACTTTCCACACCAACCTTTACCTTTCCAAGACTAAAATAAGATAAAGTAGGATACATTATGTAATTCATTACTACGACACTCAAGAGCGCTACACCTCTTACTCTACCTTGAACCCTCTTCTACAAATCTACAATGTAACTAGCACCGTGCACTTTGACATCTCAGCCCCAGCCACCTCTCGCAACCTACTCTCTTTCCTAAATCTATTAGAGAAGAACACTTCAAGCAGCACATGAGGACTGGGTACTTGAGCATCTTTTTCTTCTCACCGGTATATTTTCCTCTCTCTCTCTCTCTCTCTCTCTCTACTGGTTTATATCCTTCTTTCCCATTATCTCTACACTACACTACGTTTCAGTACCGAACCCACGTGCACCCTTTTAACATTGCTGAACCTTTTGACAAAAACCTTTTTAGTAACTTCTCTTTAGGTTTTCTGTCTACGATGTTTCTTTTTTTTTGATAGCTTACACTAGGGAAAAAATAAGCTAATACAGAGGGAGTAAGAAAACGAGTTTTTTTATTGTTTAGATTTTTGGGGGGTTTTTTTCCCGAAAAGCTTGACTAGGAATAGAGAGTAGGAGAGAGATAGACAGAGAGAGGGGGAGAGCGAATGGATAGAGAGCGGTGAAAATGTAGTGGTAATGTATGAACTTGGTTGCAAGTTTTTAGTTTGAATATATATATAAAGTAAAGCGATTGGGATTTAAAAAATCTAGTAACTTTATTTGTGTATATTTTTTAGTTTCTAATTATACTTTCTCACTGAATTCTACTTCTTCTATTTTGTGCACATGTTGTAGTAAGTTGGGGGACTAGGAGGCCGCGGATTTGTTAAGAGTTAAGTAAATAGCAGGGAGAGGAGGTATTAGACTATCGCGGTTAAGTGGAGTATACGTGGCATCACTATGGGTTCACGAGAGAAAAAAAGCTGTAGAGTAGTGTGAATGGAAAAGGTCATGTTCGAGGTGATGTGGGGAAGTGGGGATAGAATTACAAGTAGAGAAGGGGTGTGTTGACATTCTGTTCAGGGACCAGATATATCTATGGCGGTATTGGAGGTTTTTGAGGAGGGAATAACAGGGTTGTTTAGGTACGCGAAGAGCTTGAATGTATGTAGAGGTGAGAAGAACACTGGAGAAGAAGGTGTTGTGATATCGCTCAGGAAAAGAAGTTAGCATGGCCATTTGGGAGAAGAGATTAGCATGGCTATGTATAAGGTTTTACGTGACTAGTTCCTGGTCGGCGTGTTTAAATCCTTGTACATATGGAGAGGTAGGGGGGAAAGAGTATGGAAGGGGCTTGCTTGTTCGTATATTCACATGCATTTGGAAATTAGGGTAGAGACATATTACTAACAGTGACAAGGTATTTAGGGTTGTAGAATCGTATCGATCTGGTCCCTTGTGATTAGCTGGAGACATGGAATAGGGAACTCTAGACCAACGAGCATACTGGCCGAGAGAGAGAGAGAGAGAGAGAGAGAGAGAGAGAGAGAGATGTGAGCTAGCCGGTCAGTTGTAAAATGCAGGGTATCGGATACCACTTTAAGATACAACCCGCAATCTCCCGAACTTTATAACACGTGCTGACGTGAGCTTATTTGCCTTTAGTAGTAAGGTTATATCTAAGGTTAACGCGGATGTATCGTATAAAACAACCGAACAAAGCGAGTATATACTTTTAATTTCACCATTATCTCAAATACGATATCTTTTTTAAGGTTGCGAAATTGCTTCTAATACACGTCACAAAGGGCAGTGTTCTTTCTAGCCTTGCCACTACACAGGATTAAGCCTAGCATGGTACATACCTGCATCCAAGACCCTAGCGTACTACCAAAAACCGATAAACTCTACTAGCACTGACTTACACATAAGGGTATTGAGCTGTAAAAAGGCCTCACCACCCTCTTCTACACCGCTCTTGTAATCTAGAATAACAACGTGTCATCGAAGGAAGATAGCTTCTAGAAAGTCTGGTAGTAGTAGGAGAAACGAAGAGCAATCAGCCTACCATCATACTCACACACGCACCCGTACTCTACCCGCACACCAGGCCATATACACTACTGTACATGCAAGCTCGTGACTGCCCCGCGTCCGGTCAGGAAAAACGAACAAGTCACTAGGGGAACCAGAGAAAAAAATCAGGGTACGGAAGGGGCCTCATGAGCGTTTTAGCGGCATGCGGAGAAGCCACCGTTAGCACCTTACTGGAAGCGCACTACGTTTGGCAGTTGGGGAAAAAAGAAGAGTCTTCGCTGTAGGGTTCGCCAGCTTCGCGAGCCTTCTACGATCTGCAAGGCGCAAGGAAAAAGAAAAGAAAAGAATAAAAGCAGGGTTTGGCGTGCATGACCGTAAACCTTATGGTGAGTAACTTCGCTCAGCTCCGGGGATGTCACATGATTCAGGCAATGAATCGTGTGCGTGCGTGCGCGCGCGGGGGGGATAGATGCGCCTTTCTGCGATTAGGGTGCTTTTAAAAGGCTCAATGGCTCATGAGGAATCACGAATAACGCGCAGCGGAGAAGGGCCTAGCCAGAGAGTCCGTCGGCCGGCTGCGCCCTAGTTCGGGGAAAGCTTGCTTTAGCTTTCTTTGGTACTTGGTTTGCAGCTCAAGTTGGGTTGAAGAAGGGAACGTACGTAAGTTTACTTAGTCGCCTACCGGAACAAGAAACAGCCAATCGTTTGTGTCAGTTACTTGTTGCAGATGACAGCGGGGAGCGTTGAAGCGGATGTCGCCCGGGGGGGCTATGCACTTTCCACTACGCAGTCATCTTGGCTTTCGGGGTCCGGGGTTGACGTCATAAGAAAGGGGGTCACTGTCACTGGTCGGGGTCAACTGGTCAGCTGCATCGGGTGCGTCCCGTCTACTTTGAAACATGTGCGGCATTGATCTGATGGCGCAAGTAGACACGGTAAGCGAAAAATAGATAGCATTTCTCACCCTTTGACAGCGATTACCATGATATTGCCATGTTTCAAGGTAGGGATTATTGCCCCAACCAGGGAAAGACCATACTAAATTTAAGCTCGACGTTAGGGATGTCTAGTGCAGTGTTTCGACACATCTGACGTACCATGATTTGAGAAAGGTCTAGACACCGAGCGGCCCGCAATGATCCCTTGTTGCCCATCCGCTATCTGTGAGAGGCGATTGACAATGGCTTTTCTCCTATCTGTATAGGATACTACTACGAGTGCGACATGCAGGCGGGCGGTTCCCTGCGGGCGATCTGCATCGTTTGGGGCAAGACGAGCGGTCACTAGCGGACTGTGTTTGGCCCGATGCAACAACGGAAGCGTAATGCGAGGCCTACTACTAGTAGCAGTCCTAATGTCTTTGGTGCCATACGTACACACCGTATTCCCGTATACTTCAGCTCTGCTGTTTGTGAACGACATCTGAATACGGACTTGACCTGACGATAATAACCGAGACAGACGGTACATGCAGGTGAGCTGTCACAATCGTCCGCACGCAGATCGCCGCAATTTTTAGCTTCTCCATAATGTCCATCATCACATGTAGTTCGCTGTCGCGCGCAGACTCGGAAGTATCCTAGACCCGGGCCAGTCATCAATGCTTCGAATGATGATATGCGTCTCAAGGTTCTGACCATTGTCCGTCACACCATGTGCAATCAATACTGCACAGGGCATTTTTTTGTAGTATTTGATATCCTGGCCAGCCTCGCCAAGCTCTAAATGGTAGGCTGGGTGATGTGAGGCGGGGCTCCTGTCGGAGACATACTATTTGAGATCAGCGACGCCGTCTTCGGGCGGCTGTCACCGACAACCAGATCGGCGTGTTTATCCCTAATCCCGCGCCAAGAGATTTTGATGTTAGTGGTGCCGGGTTCTCTTTCGCTTGCGCTTCCGAGCAGGTGTACGTACTTAAGAAGGAGGCCTGTCGCCAAGAAAAGGGTTCTGGGATGGCGTTGTGAAGATGCGGGATGGCTGCAGCATCGACATGTCGCAACTCTCTCTCAGGCCGGATCTGCAGTCAGATTGATCGTCGCGTCTGACATGGCCACCCCTTGTCATCTCGACGACTCAAAGTACGGCTCAAATATCCGTTTTAGTGCACTCATGGCAAGCGGAGCCGAACGATGAAGGGTTAATAGTGGCTATGCTGACGATCCCTGGCTGGATGGACATTTAGTCTATCCATATGCAGGAACAGCGTCATAAGTGGGCTAGCCAGTATCGGCTACCGAAAAAGCGCGCTAGCTGGGACGCTTTTGGGGTAATGCTATGATTGGGTGAATACAGCCACCCAATAGCCCATGAAAAGTTCGGTACACACAAGTACAGGCGAATAAGCTGATGAGCTATCCGATATGACTCGCAAATATTCAGCATTTTCAAAATACCTGACTAATGCAAATTCGGATGCTCCTCATAATGGTAATCATCAGGCAACGGTTTTTGTGATTCGTTTCGAGCACCATACATACTGGACACATTACTTGCATAAAGTTCTCTGGCAGATCAATACTCATCTGGATACTAACCTCGGCATAGTAGAAAGAACCAAATACATACACATACTATTGTTGACAGATGTGCAAGTGTCAGATCCCGGCAAGCGTCCATCGAATCGGCAACACAACTCAGGAAGCACAACCACAAGCACTGATGTGTAGAGATTTTTGGGTCAGGAAAGTTATTTCCGAGATAGCTCGAGTATCGTGACGGGCAATATTGTGCATGAGGTCCTCGTGACGGTGCCAAATTGTGGCTGACTGGATTGGCATGCCACTTGTGGTCAGCAGCGAGTCGCTTGCAACGGAGATGGCTCCTACAAAAGGATGTGAATGGAATCGACTCTATTTAACGTTATTTCAGTAGAATTCGATGCCGAATTTATGTCAGATTCACTCTCCAATGCCTAAACGTAGTGATGAGATAGAGTCTGTACAGCGCCCCTGGTCCAAAACAAGTGTCTTCATTGTCACGGCGCAGACATGAAAAATCATCATGGAAAAGGCCATATAGACTGAACTAGCATCTTTGACACTCGTCTTTGAAACGCGTGAGTGGCAATTCGATAGTGAACTTAAGGCGTCCAGGAATCATCGGAATAAGAGAGCGACCAATCCAGTGCGACCAACACATGGATGCTGATGTTTCACATGCTGGTAAGCTTTTGGTCGACAACAATAAATGGGCCTAGACAAACGTAGCGGGGAAGTATCGGCATCTGGGACAGTGGTAACATCAGACATTATGCGGGACAACAGAGTGTCGCCTCACTGAACTTAAAGCGAACTCTGTGACGCTGCAGGTAGAGCGTCAAAGACGATGATGCGAGTAAAAAGCTTTTCCACATCTGTTGGTGTGTATTCAACAAAGTTTCCAGGTGTACAAACGTTGAGTGACGACGTTTCAGCGCAGTGCTTGCAAGCATGCTGTACATATGCCATATTGTCACTGCAAAGGTATCGTAATGTGCAGATAATGCGGTGCGCGATTGCTGCAGTTGTCCCAGATACCGGGTAAATGATGATGTGGTGTTCATGAATGTCTGCAAGTCGGTTGATTGGAGAGGTTGTTAGTATGCGGAAGAATGAGTGGGGTAGTTTAGATGCATGTAGAGCACCATGCGTTGTGCAACTGTATCTGCATTCTTTTCCTTGTCTATCGATCCTTCTACAAGGACTAGATTCCGTTTACGACAACCAATACTTACGCATTAGTGGTTGACAAAGCAGTCGCGATTCCGAGAATGTGGCAACAGATGTGCTTCGACGGCGATGTGTAAACCTCGTACAAGTGGCACGGGTACGCATACCCGTCTGGTCATTATCGTCAGGCTGCTTTTATTTGATCTATTCTTCCGATGAGGTTGTTCTACAAACATCAAAGCGGATCCCTTCATCTCGCAGGCGCTCCGGTGTGCATTATCGCAAACAGGCGGTGTGATGAACGATCTAAGGTCTGGGGTACAAGATAGGGTGTCGCATCATCGAGATGCACCGATTAGCAGTCTTGTCTGGTGTAGATCGTGAGGCTTCGGCTTGTAGTGAGGGTTGGCATCAGGCCAAAGGCTTGGAAGCAGATTCTAACGACATGCATGCTTCTAGGCACATGGCAACAGTGCTTAGGGAGCAACGTTTGTCTAGATTACTTAAACTCCAAAGTTTGGAGGGCAGATTGAAGGTCCGTCTCGAATCACAAAAGCGTCCGTGGCTTCCGCCTGGTGTAACAAGGCCAGTCACGATAGGTGTACCTGGTGGGTAACAGAGACCGGTGAAAGGGTGAAGATCTAGATGCAAGAGGCAACTTCTTGCAAGGACAAGCTCACTGCACATGGTTTGCAGCAAAGAGCGAGGCTCGGCTGTGGAGAACTCCTAACACCAAGCAAAGGGAACCGTTGGCTAACGTTCCAGTATCAAGGCGATGGCTACGCTGGCGTAGAGTGACAGGCCCCTAGGCCATGGCGTAAGGGGAAGGTTAAGGCTGGCTACGAATGGTGGCTGCCCAGCAACAGGACTGATGGACTGTCAGGCCGGCCAGTTGCTGCTGTACGCTCGTGTGGCTGTTGTCGATGGTACGCGATAAGCTTGTGAGAGGGTGCGTGGAATGCATTGGGCTGGAAGCGGTCGATTCAGGCAAGGCTTGGTGGTGTTGCTTCTGATTGAATTTTTTTCTTGCTAACTAAGGAACCGATTCCGAGCCAGAGGTTCGGCGTGCGGGCGGGATGATCATGGTGGACATGTTGAACAACAGCCAAGAGGGTGGAAGCGGGTTACGCGTGCACACGAGCCTGATAACGGTCGGACCAAGGAAGTAAGTACCTACATAGGCCAAGGCAGGCCGCGTGCTGGCGGCATGCACGGGTGCCGAATGCGAGGGACAAGGATAGGGGCGAATCTCGTCAGAAGGCGCAAAGCGCGGTGGACGAAGGTTCGTAGGCGCAGGCGCAGGGCAAAGTTTGGCGGGAGTGGTGGTGGTGGTTGGATGTTTTGGCTGCGACGGCGTAGAGTTTGGCGTGGAGTTGGTGGGGGGAGCGTCTCATCTTGTTTGTATGTATGACAGCGAGGCGGACGAGGGAGCATGTCGGTCATTTCCAGGCAGATAGTAAGATGGATTTGTGTTTGATCGGCCGGCTAGCGGGACGTGGGATCAGCACCGGACGGGGAGACGCGACGCCGAGAGAGGCATGGCGTCGCTATCCCTGCTGTCTATCATTGAGGCGCAGAGACGTCGCACTATGCCCAACCTGCCATTAGCAGTCGCTCTGCATGCGACTGACATCTGTCACTTGCAGAAGGGGCCCGTCGACTTTGCAACGGATGGATGGATGGATGGATGGTGTTGGCCGTGGCCGTGGCCGGGCCCAAGGGGCGTCGTAGTTAGTATTATTGGTGTTGTTGTTGGCTTCCCTGTCAAATTGGTCAGGCTGTGGGTGATGTGTACTATGCACGCAAGTACATGTGTCTATGTACATGTGTGGCAGCCATGCAAGGACAGACACCGGAGCCCTGTAGCGGGCACGGTAGCAGCGGTAGTAGTAGTGGTAGTAGTAGCAGCAATACTACCACCATCGTCCACACCATCATCGTCATCCCCATCAATACCACCAGACCGTGTGCAGCTGATTCAGGGTCCACACAGGCAACGCCTAGTCGTTACCAGAGCAGCCAGGCGTAGACAAGACCATGATCATGGCCCGGCGGTGGATCATCTCCCGCTCGACACGGCCGAACCAGAGCCGGCGACAATGCACTGCCGTGCCAATGTCGACTGTCGCATGTCGCAACTCGGCGGGTGTGGGCTGTCGCTCGAATTCCTATTCCTGTCGCACGGCGAAAACGCCTCTTCGGCCTTCCCAACGCTCGCAGTCGCAGCTCTAGCGTCTCTTCTGTGTTGCCTCGACACACCCGCATAAGTCCTGCCCCCCGGATGCTGGTACGCCTCCGTCGCACAACTGTCGACGCCCTTCAGCCACCAGCCTGGTTGAGTGCGGCGGCAGCTGTCTGCCGGCTATCGTGCCTGGTGCTGCGTGACATGTACCACTCTGCCTTCCAGTTGTCGGGTACCTGGCTGCCCCTCGCCACTCCAACTGCCTTCTCTTCCAACATGCCGTCATGGCCGCCTCTATTCGTGCTCGTGCAGACGGTACATCGCCCACCTGTACCACACTTACTACTGCTACGATGACGACTGGGGGACGCGGTAGTAGAAGTCGAGGATATCGATGCAAACTAGCGCCGTCCAGCTAGCACCCCGCAAATGCTGCTCCTGAGCCGCTCCTAGTCCACGTCGTAGTCTGTATTGTTGGCGTTGTTGCTGGTTATTCTTTTGTTTTTGTTTTTTGCCGTTGTCATGTTGGCCCAGGATTCAAGGTCGATACACAGGCACAAACTCTATGGAATGAGGTGGCATGGCCTGACAATGGTCAAGGGATAAAGAGGGAGAGACAGGGCGCTACTAGAGGGGGCCTTGTACCGGCGAGGGCGAGGCGCCCGTGGAGCAGAGAGTATTGCTTGGCCATAGCCCGCTTTTTTCTCGCCGTCATGGAACGTTGTGAGATGGCTGCGGCGTCCAGTGTATGGGCATGCCGAGTTGGAGGACAGAATGGGCCAGAGGCAGACGACACCCTGGTCCGTTTCTGCGCCGAGTCAGATGCAGCCAGATCTGCGACGATTCGAGAGGTGGAGACACCGGGCGACGCTCAATGGCGCTTGCAATAGACGGCGCCGCTTCAGCGCGCTGGCTCGTGCCTCGAATCTGCGGCGTAGGCGGAGGGTCTCTTGTTTCCTACCTAACCCTACTCCCGGCCTCTATCCGGCCAGAGCCTGCAATGTGCACGCTCGGAGAATATAGACCAAACCTTAACCCTCACCTGTCAAGTCTACACACGTCTTGCTAGCCGCGCTGGCCCCCCGCTCATTGGCCGTCACGCGCTGGCCCCCCTGGCTCATTTGCTCGTGCTGCACGATCAGAGTGCATGGTAAATGTACGGCCCGTTGCAGTCCTGCTTGGCCCATAAACGCCTCCTTTGCCAATCCGACTTCTTCTTAAACACCCGGCCACCCGTCATCACCACCCCAGCATCCCGTCTTTGTCCCGTACGATTCGCTGTGTGCTTGCGCCGGCTCCCTTTCCGCTCTGATCCCCGCTGTGGCTCTGCCTTTGTACATTCCTCACCACCCCATTCACGCCCTCTGTACCATAATAGACCCCGAGCCCGCTGCCCGCCCCGCATATATCTGCCGTCCGAATTCCCTGGTTCGCCCGCCTGGGACTGACCCCTTACATCACCACCTAGATACCTGGGTAAGTCGCCCTCCCTTTCTGCTCTCTGCCTGCCACCCCGCTCGTGCCTGATGGCATTCAACGGCACCAGTCAACGGTGCCAGTCGGCGCTGGTACCAAGCTGTCAGCAACTATGGATGAGCAAATGGCCCCGTCCACTCACCATCGACACATTGACATGCACCACTTTCTGTTGCTAACGCCTGCATTTGCTTCTCCAGAGTATTTAACCATCCCAAATTTGCCCCTATGGAATATCTTACCCTCCAAGATATTCCGCACCGCCATTGTGAACCACTGCACTCGCGCAAAATGAACTCGTCACATTCTGCAGAGAGTCCGCTGGCGAACATGGTTGCTGCGGTAAGTCACGATTCCTCTTCTACTACTTTTCCTACTTCTTCTTCCTCTTCTTCTGCCTCGATGGCTTCCTCTGCACCTTTGTCTCCTCCCCTTTTCCTCGAGCCTGCCCTCAAGCCCCCATCACCCCCACTGCCCAGCTCCTTCCGCACCACTGCACAAGCACAAGTACCAGCCCACCAAGATAAATCCTCTGGCCTTTTCCCACACTCGCTTTCTAGCGGGAGTCAAGTCATGGACCGCCATCAGCATGCTCAGGACATAGTGCTGTCTCGCTCTCTCGTCTTTCCCCACCACCACCATCATCATTATCAGCGGCACACTTCACCACCCCCACCAAAGAGACAGTCCAATCTCCACTCAATCATCTCCCCGCACTCCTTGGAGCAAATCCACTCCCATAATGACAATGACAACGACTCTGATGCGCGCCCCTACGAAACACAACAGTCAACTTCACACACAAGCAGTAGTCTGACAGAAACCCAGAACCATCACATGCGCAGCTCTCCACCAATTCAGCCTGGAGAACAAAGCTTCCCTGGCAAGCTCCCTTCTTTTTCAGAGGTAAGCTCAACTCTTACATCCGATTTTCATCTGGGCACTGCTGACATGTGCAGTTTCTCCACACTACCCGAACCACCACACCACCGAGGACACCCCAACGCCGACATGGCTCGGCCGACAGCTCTCCTCATGCCCAGCCCCACTTTGACGAGGTAGCGTGGGCCGACAGCAAACGTAGGCGTGTCGACACTCTTGGCGACATTTACGCTCGCGGTAGCATCGAACCGTCTTTTGGTGAGCCTCGCCGCATGAGCAGCGCCATCGATCCTGCCCTTTCCGGCTACTCACCCCACATCGCCCACCAGCACTCCGTACAGTCTGTACCATCGGCCTATTCTCACCGTGCAACTCCTTCTTACCCGCCACCTCACCAGCAAGCGCCCCCAATGAACCCCCACGTCCGCCACCAGTCTTCGCCCATTCCTCAAGGCCAGATGCCTTTTTCGCAGCCAGCCATTCACCAGCCAATCGCCCAGAACCCTTATCAACCACCCATGGTTCAACAGGGCTACTATCACGACCACCAGGCAGCCGCCTACAGCGGCTATGAACGGTCCCAGGATTCCTACTACCCTCGAGCTTCCTACTCTGGTTACGATGCGCCCTATGGCGGTGACATTCGCTTCCAGCACAACGTCGGTCTTGACCACAGCGCATTCAACAGAAAGCGAAGAGGAAACCTACCCAAGGAGGCAACTAACCTTCTCAAGGACTGGTTTGCGGCGAACCGTCAGTCACCCTACCCAACAGAAGACCAGAAGATGGAACTTTGCAACCGCACTGGTTTGAGTCTCAATCAAGTGAGTCACCATCCCCAGCCAAAGTGTCAACTGTGACACTTTTACTACATGTACCATTTCTGTCTTTCAGTGTCGTCTGGTTTAGACGGCAGCGCAATTTCGGGCCGTTGAATCACCTCAGATCTGTCTTATGGGACTGTTTAGAATCTTACTTCGTGGTACTGGACAAGTGACTGACAAGATTTAGGTATCCAACTGGTTCATCAACGCACGCCGTCGGGCCCCACAAAAGGAGCAACGTGAACGCGAAGCCAACGGACCTGATGCATAGTCTTGCCTGGCCCGCAAGTTGCTCGGGAGTGGCGCCTTATTCCTGCCATACGTCGTCCATTACTAGCCCTTTACTTAGATTCAGTCATGGGTACGATCCCAACACACTATTTTCACTTCTTTCCGTCATTGGCGATCTGGTTGAACCAAAATTTCCTGGGCGTTATTTCTTATCCATGTATTTTTCTTTCTTTCCATCTATCTCTAGGCGATTTCTTTTCTTATCATTCAGGCTCAGCATAGGCACTAAAGGTTTTACAAGCGATTACGGGGTGCACGAGACACCCGGGATTTTTCCTAACGTCGAATACCCTGGGACCCAAATAGGAGGATACATTTGCATGTTGGGAAACGGAGTATCGGGGACTGCTGCGCTGCAGTCTTACACTGGAGGTATCAATGAATTTGTTTGATTTTGCCATAGCTCCAAAATCCTCCTTCCCAAATATCCTAATATCATAGGCAAGATTTTGCATACTCGACGATGACTTTTGGTCATGCTTTCGTGAGGCGTGAACTTCACACTGATTGACAAATACCCTTCCCCAGACACCAGCAACATGAAACAACCAAACTGGCAACTATTGCGATGCATGGCGATGGACCCCGGGCGTTGTTGGACTATTGATTGTCTAGCGCCTATATGAAAAGGACCCCAACCAAATGGCCAGATTCGGTTGTACATGACTTCAGACTGGCCCGATGAGGAAATTTCCATCGCCAGATTTTTGCAGGCTTTGTGATGGCCATCACGCTGTCGACGCTATGCTCGAAACGCGATGAGAAGTTCCGGTGTTTCACCAGCTAAACTCAAAACGTAGACACACAACGGTCAACCTTTGAGCGCAACACAGAAGCCGTTAGTATTTTTGGAGGTCACCGGGAGCGCGGCATGGAACCACTCCGGGAAAGTATCTGAACAAGTTGAGCCATGACACGTTTGGAATTATTGAAATCCTACAAAAAGAGAGTCAGGGTCCACACAAACTCACCTTCATCGCAGGTCTCGACGCTGTCCAAATCGGGAGAGCACGGAACATGCGTTGCCCGCTTTCCTTGTCTTTCCCTCTTTCTCTCGGCTCCTTGAACCGAAGCAAAGGAGGCAACTCAGCCCAGCCAGCCAGCCAGCCAGCCAGCCAGCCAGCCAGCCAAACTTGCAATGCGCCCCACAGCTGGAGTTTAAATTTCACAAATCAATCACATCCGGTGAAGCGAATGGCGAAGTTTGCATTAGAAGCCTTGCTGGGGATCGTCAGCAAGGATGACACCACTTAGGGACTGGCGTGCACGATGCCTGCGTCAACCCTGGGGGATCGGAGCCAGGACGCGCTGGTCTGGCCTTTCCGCTAGTAAGCCATCCCTGCACCATCTTATTCTAATAACCTTGATATGACCAGGTTGGCGCTCATTCGTCTCTCGTCCAACCTGTCATTCCTAGAAACAAATAACTGATCATGGCAATCATGACCTTGCAAGGGTGCCACATCTTACTAGGGAGCTGGTCGGATGCACTCACGCGCCCCACCGCACCTTGAAACGAGTCACATACGGGAAGCGTGATGCGACGTCGGAAACATTTGCTCGCTCGCGCCATTTTTTTTTTTACAAATCACTTGACATACCTGACAATTTTGACAACGGTCGGGGAAAAAGAGCGCAAAGGGTGTGCTTAAAAAAAGTGTCCTGATGTTTCAGGCCTGTTTCTAGCACATGTCACCTTTGTAAACCTGCGGCTTCACTTTTTTTTTAAACCCACCTTGTTTTGGCCGTCAGCCTGCTTAAATCTGACAATCGAAACGGAGTTCTGTTGATCGGAATATTAACGCAGAATCGCCTGATACTTGCATCCCCTCATCACATCTCGTGCCCGAACGAAAGCTCGCCAAACCCCCGAACCCCGGCTCGGCCCTAGACCTTTTGCCTCTTCAACCTCCTCGCCTTTCGCGGCAGCGTTATTAGCTTAACAGCGGGACTCGCCATATATAGAACCCGTGGTTCATATGAAACGGTTATTCTGTGGAGGCAAGGCAAGGCAAGGCGAAGAGAAATACGAAAAAATCCATCACATTTACACCTACAGGCAGAATTAAAAAAAATCTAACCTCTTGTAGCAACCCTAACATTACATGCATACCTACAAAGCATAGCAAGCCCGTGTCTCCGGCCTTGCCCGCGAATAATTCCAATTAAGTCCTAGTCCATGTAAATCCTCACCTCATTCTCTCTCCCCGGCCCCTCACTCTCTGCGACACGCAAGTTTCAACCGTCGTCCGCACAAGCAGACATCCACATGTCACCTTCCTTATTTCCTCATCGTTTCCGCCCCAGATTTTTCTTTCAACCTGACTCGCCCACATGGGTATGTGCCGTCAAACATTATCTTCATGCAACACACCATCGGAGATCGCAAAAAAAAGTCGGATATGAACCACACAACATTAAAAGACATTTAGATGCCGATCGTCCCACCAAAATTACACATGTTTTGTGCACATCTTTCCCCTCAATGGGTTTAATCACACGCCATTTCGCGCATTTCCCCTTCCCGTCCCGTTGCCTATCACCTGCACGTGCGTTTTGCGTACCTTGAACTTATGTCTGGGGGCCCGGGGGGGGGGGGGGGGCGATATTCGCTTCCTGTCTTCCTGTCCATCCATCTGTCCAAACTGTCTTAATCTGGCGGTTTGGTTGATCACACCACCCCCCATGCCAAGTACACACACACACAGTCGAAATAACGATCTTCAGCATAATACAAGTTCTCTTCGTTTTTTTATTTCCGTTACCGCGAAACGTAGACCTATCGTGTACGCCACATACATTTGCACATGTTTCGTTTACAAGACCGATATACAGGAAGCGCAGTTAGTGTGGTTTCCGGATTGTCGATGCCCACTTTACGATAGCGATGGCAAGTTCCGTAGGTGTAAACCGTGGGTCGCGTCTACTAGAAACGCTGATCGTAGGGGGTTTGGGGGAGGGAATGCGAAAACGAAGGGTTGGTGCCTGCGCCTTGATGGGTGGATGGCGTTCCGTGGGAACGTGGGAAGTAGGTTCGCATAACCACGTGGAGGCGCGATAGGGAATGTTGGAGTTTGGGGCTATGCGGGTTTACCTTGTGCTAGGGGAACGAGGGGGTGACGGAGTGCTTTGCGAATCACCAATGGTGTAGTTGGGGTTTGATCGAGTGGATTTGATACTACTGTGCATTACAAGAATGCCGCGCTGATGTCTCCCCCATGCGGATCTGTCTTTCTCTTGTTGATCACACATGTCATTTCATTCACGTTTCGCGCCAGAGGTCCATCACAGCACGCAATACATCATCGGTGCTAGCAGCATCTGGACTCCATCGAGAAAGTCTGGGCCGCGATATACGATTACCCGCTCTCTTTGGAGGTTGAGCGGGACCTTGGGTGTACCAGAGTTGAGGGGCAACCTATCATGAACGGCGGTTTCGAAAAAAAGGTGGTTGGTTGGATACGATTAAGAGAAGGGTCAACATGGCGGGGTGCGGGAGCCACATGGGAGATGCGTGGTTTTTTTGTGCGACGATTATCTGGTTGTGCGACAGTGATTGAACGTCATGATAACTACGTGTGCATTGAAAGGATTCATCTTGACACGTAAACTGGTAAGTGTGTTAGCCTGCCAGCGATGATGTTCTGGTTAAAAAGCTGGACAAAGTATATCGGGAGTGATGGCGAGCCGAGTGAGGTTGGGATAAAGTGTGCCGGAGTTCCGATTAAGAAGTTTCGTTCTTTGCTTGCTTTTTGTTTCGTTCGCTTTTTACTTTGTTTTTACCCGTTAATGCTGGGGTGGGCGGTTATATACAGTACAAACGTCCGTACGTGGGTATCATGTACTTGAAAAAAGAAAAGAAGATAGAAACAACAAACTCAGCATGCCCCGCTCGCAAGATTATATGCAAGAAGAGTATTAAATGGAAGTAGCAATGTTACCGCCTGCTTGACCCGTGAAGCAACGCGAGTCGCGCTTCGGGATGCTTTTCTTCGTACATCCGCGCCATGTCGTATACCACTTCTCCCCAAGCGAACTCGCCTCTGTGACTCCGGTTTTTGCACGGGCTCTGCTTAAATGGAAGTAACCAGTCGAGTATACCGTTGCCCATGGTATCTTTCCAGCCCTGCATGAGGCTCGTGTACCAAGGGTGTTCGAATGGCTTTGTCTGCATCACCACGTAGGAGCGCTTGGAAGCACGAGTTACGGTAGTCAGAATAGGCCAGTCCTCTTCAACCCTTTCTCCTTCTGTAGTCCTGTCAGAGTTCTTCTTATGAGCCTTTCCGGACGGCAACGGTGGCGTTCCTGGTGGAAGAGTGGTACTCGAACGGCGAGATGGCTGGGAAACGAGAAAGGCAATGTTATGGATGCCCCCGCGTTGGATGCCTTCGACCGAGGTGTAGTTTATCATGAGGTTCCAGCCTGTCATACAGGACATGGTAAAGCTGAAGAGGCTGAACAGTACCCCTACTGCGAGAGCGCCAATCCAAGTACCGGGCCGTGAGCCCATCTGGAACATGTTAACACGCTGTTCAAACGACCCAATAAACAGTGAAAATGCGCCAACGATGTCCGCAGGGACATACCTTTGAATTGCGCTCCGCTAGGAAAATAGCCACCACGATCCAAGTAAAAGTCGTGTACAGCGCCGCGTATGCTACAAATTGCATAAAGAACTTGTGCGTTGACTCTCCTATAATTCCTCCCGCCCAAGGGCAGTAATGGTCCATCTTCCTTACACATCGGCCCAACTCCTTACAGTGATGTGTTCTGTCCGGTTTCCAGTTGTGGCACTTGTCGCACCAGAGCGGTAGCCCTTGGTAGTCGCAAACAAATGCGTCGTACTGGTCGAATGCAAAGTCCCTAGTGCTCGCATGTTCCTTCTCTTGCGCAGTGTTTCCGAATGGAACAATATCAGGCCTGGACCATATCATTTGTAGGAGGCGCAGCCATGTTATGGTGAGGAAGAGCATGAGAAGGGCGTATACGACGATGAGCGCGATGCCGGTGGACCGCCGAGGTTGGATGTTGAAGTCGCGCTGTATCTGGTCCGATGGGTTGATAAGGTATTTTATACAGATCAGGTACACAAAGACCCAGGTTTCGTAGCCCACCGCGCCGAACTCGAGGAGAGGGATGATGACGGAGGTCGCCTGGCCAATCTTCTGTTCCACGGCGGGGTTGGTGATGGCGCCGGGCTTTGGCGGATCGGTGACTGCTGGCGGGGGAGGTCGTGGTGCCATTGTGACAGAGTGTGGAACAGGAGGAATAGCTGCGCTCACTCCAGGAGCCCTCGGGAGAAGGCTGGCGAGGAGGAATCCTGGTGTTGCACAACACAGCCCGCTGGGCCAAGGTCGCGAACAATGCGCCATTAGTCCGCTCCCTACGGCGGGCTTGGCAACATCACCACAAACCACATCATTGAAACTTGCAATACTTGCTGGCCCATTGCATTTGTAGTCTTTCAAACGTCCTGTTGGGTGTTGTATCACCAACTCAGAGAAGCCTTCAATTCCACCACGAGCAATAGGTACACGCGTGTGCGACGCGCTGTCCGACCAATCGGCCGAGCCTGGCCGCTGCCGACGTCATGATCTTCGACTGCTCAAGGCCCGGCCAACAATTCTCAGCCTCCTTTGCTTTTTTTTCTTGCTATGCTTCTGCGCAAAACATCGGTATGCCTTCTGGAGTTCTCTCGTACATATTAGAGAAAATCACTCACTTTGGCTTCTGGGTCAGAAGCAAAGAGCATCGGATCCCTCGCCAATCAACGCCTTACATAGCCGTGCATATAGCCCCAAGAAATATTCTGCAGCCCATTCTGGCAGTCGCACCATTCTTTACTCTCACTCTGTATCTATTTCATTTCATAGGAGAGCATAAGCAACTTTCGGCGCCTCTGATACGACTGACGACCGCCCCGAAAACCGCCTCGAAGGACCACACACACATGAAATCATTGAAGCTAAGCCTATTGCACTGACCGGATTCCCCAAGGCTGAGACCAAGGCTGGACCACCTGATTCTTTTCTTTGTTAAGTGATTTTTTGTGGTAGTACCGCTGCCATTCCGGCCCCCTTCACCAGTTTTTTTCGCCGGTTCTGGAAAGGCGACATCAATCATGCATAGATATCGGGGTCCAAAAGGTTGCATCTAGATAGTGTTCGAGACGAGCAGGCTGAATCCTCTTGTTTGTTCGAAAAAAGCTCAGTGTATATACGCTACGCCCTGCACCTGGTGTAGAAGCGAAGCATATACTCTTTTGGTACTCAAAGAAATTTAGCACCAACTGACCCACGGCCAGACCAGCGCAAGCTTCATTCCTTCCCAGCATACAGTGAGTCTGCCTAGTGTTTCTTGATAGAGTAAATGGTCAAACGCAGTATGCAAAGTTGCCGTCCACCGGTCTTTCACGTTCAGGTGACTGACTACGCGCAGTATGGCATCCGAGCTTTGACGTCTACGGATCAAGTCTCCAAAGCTACACAACCAAGGTTTACCCGTATGGGTAAGCGTTCATCGTCTCCGAAGGCATCGGGGCTCGCACTGCCACGAGCTGGCCGTACCAATGATCGTCGCCGGCCCACCATTGCATGTCCGGCGTCATATTCAGGAACAGATATCCAGGCGTAGATTTCCAGGCTACAGCACTATGAACACATCACCGTGTTATACCGGTGGATCTATTGAAGATTGATGACAGAAACGACAACTGATGCAGAAGTAAAGCGACATGCACAGCCCAGCCGATCAATCGTACCGGCAGTGCTTGAAGTCGGTTAGCAGCCTAGAGTTTTTATTTTCCGGTAACACAAAGTTGTTCGTTTAAAACTTTTCACCTGGCAGTGGCTGTGAAGGCTCTGGTCGTCTTCCATGCTCTGTTTGGCGTCAAAGAACACAGGGGTTCAAGTGCCTACATCGGACTCGAGTCTACAAATCGCCAATGCTTATTCACCAAACCAGGCTAACGATTATATCCGCTGAGCTACGGTAAGCAGGCAAGATCTTTAGTCTAGTCCCATATCGAACAATTACTTATTCGGGCACTAGTACCTTTGTCAAGCTCCGGGACTCCTCATCCCAATGAGTCACTCCATCAGGCAATCAGGCAAATGAACGATCGCCTCGTTTACTCGATTTATCTCAGCACCTAGCCATAACAAACTATACGGCGGCATTGCCTGCAACGCCCAACGTTACTACAACATATCGCACCTCCCGGTCTACATGTGGGGAAGAAGCTTGGTACAGTCTGATGTAAAGGTTATCATGTGGTTTTGAGCAAGGCAAACACAGAGAATCAGGCATTTGCCCTTGGCCCTAAGACTCCTTCCATCACACACCGACTTCCTAGTAATGTGGCGATGCATCTCATCGTCGGAGATCCCGGCTAGTTTCTCGTAGGACTCTCATCGTCCTCCGCCATTCACTGTGTATCACTGGCCGGCTATCCGTGTAGGGCATCAACCTGTATGCCTTATCATCTAAACAACCAAATCAACATCCCGGCATAGCACCAGATGCCTTCTTGGGGCTTCATGGTGGAAGGCGCAGCAAGAAGAAACGATGGACACAACGCATTCACTCGAGTGGGACTTGCCCGGGCGAGATACATATAAGTTCGCCGTTTCTCAGAATGAAGTCTCATATCTCACTCGGAATACATTGCTAGCTATAGCGCTCCAAATTCTTCATCAATACTCCACTGTCTTAACATCTCACATTATGGCCGCCAACTCCACTATTCGCTATCTTCCCAAGCACTCCGACACAACTTCGACTCCTCAACGTCAATCAATGTCTTTGCAGTCCAATAGCACAACATTCCTCGAGGGTACAACGGTTCCTTCGATTTCAGATGAAAGTGAATTCACGCTTCACACAGACTATCTCGTCGACCATCACCTTTCGAGCCACAGCATATCCGCACCCTCTTCACCGGTCCTTTCTTGCAGCCTACCACATTACACATCTGCACCCATCTACGGTGCTCCAATAGTTTGGTTTTGTTCGGCGTGTAGGGATGGTCCCAAAGGCGACTGGCAAAACGTGTGTACAGCATGTAATCACCAAAGGTGCAATGCTTGCACCGTGGAAAAGACTTAATAAACAGACCTTTGAGGTTGAAGCCAGCATTTCTTGCATCACCGGCGGAACATCAGTCTTTCAGCGCCATTCTTGGGTCTGAGCGTGTTATTTGGCTTGCTTTTTACGGGGGTCACATAGGGGAGTATGGTCGGTTTTGGGCATGGAGGATTAGGCTTGGATTTAGATTTCGTCACGCAATATATCTGTCATTTCAATATACTTTTTTTTTCTATCTTATGTTTTTCTCGCCCTCAATATCATTGTATACGCTGCTCCCTCACCCTGTACTGATGATATGAGAAATTCACTACTCATAACTTCACTACTCACAACGAGAACCACGATGGTGGGCGTCGTTGAAGTTTGCAAACTAAGAGGGATATCGGTGCAAGCATCATCTAAGGCACTCTCGCATGAATACGCAGGTACACAGGTACACGAAACAACTGCACACCCACAGCGAGGGCGACACACGCCGCCCCAACGGCTCTCTCTGCAGTGGCGAAAGGGGGAAATGCTTGTTGTCCTGACGACGGCTCATCATTGGAAAGATTCACCTGAAACACGACGCCAATCAACTGGAACGAGCCACACCGCAAGTTGAGACGAGCCCGCCGCTGCGGCCGAATTGTTGAGTCCGCCTGGAGGACCAACATGCCAAGTATTTGCCTTACACTAACTGACAACGACGACCGACTGAGGCCACCCATTTGCCTTATGCCTTCTCATTAAAGCCAAATTTCCAAATCACGCGTGCAGTCCTTGGCCCATAATATCTATCGCCGCCTCCTATCGTGCCCACACAGCCAACCTCAGGAACCGTTATCTCATCCGATTAATGCCTAACGAAACCCCGGCCCTTTTCCTCCTTCTCCCACCCTTCCGCTCCTTTTTACACAATGAGCCGTGCTTTTGCTGGCTCCGCCACTGTCCTCCCTCTGCGTCATTGGCACAGCGGGACCGCCGCTGAGGGACGAGTGCCCGCCAGGACTGCTGGCGCTAGGCGGCAAATTAGAGCTTTACGGTCATGAGGAGGCCACTGATCGTGCCCTGTTTGTGAGGCAGGAGGGCTCCGAGAGGGCGGTGACGATGGCTTAGCCATGATAGAGGACCAAAGAGGACGCCGGGACGAGGTATGACACCGTCTTCCTGCTCTTGTTCCTTATAACTTCTTACTGAAGTAAGGTATAGATATCAAGCTCCTTCTCTTCTTCGAAGGTCTTCTCATACACTCTCAATTCTGCATCGCAACAGTTGAATACTTCTTCCTCTTCATCATCTTTACTTGAACACTTCATCTCTTCTCAATACGCTACCTAACTAGCGTGCTACCACTATGTCTAGTTCCTGGTACTGCTGCCAGTGCGGCGATGGTGCAAATACCTCTATGATGTCTTCATGCCCCATTTATGGGTGTGGTCATAGGAGGTGTGGTTGCTGCCAGTACTCTTACAACAACAACAACTACGCACACTCCCCTAGCCAACAACACGCCGCACCTCTTTCAAAGGGATCTTCCTCTTCGAATTTAAGCAGTTCGTACTACACGCAGCGCCCTGAGCGCCCGAAGATTTGGCGGTGGATTTGCTGTAGGTGCGGCGGAGACAACAGCTACAAGATTGATCAGGGATGTGCTACTTGCTGCAACCACTGGCGCGATGATAAGTGCACGTTGTATGATGCCAGTGCTCGATAATTTGATCTGAGTGGATCTTTGGGAAAACCTTCATGAGGAATGGTTGTGTTGTAAGTCTTCTTGCAGTCCTTTCATGAGGCAGCTTTATAACAGTCTTTAGTTTGATGATGCTAGCGATGGATTGGATGCATGGGAGGCGTTTTGAACGGGCAAGGATCGGCGTTAAGGATTTATTTTTTGGGTAGTCTTTCTTTGGATTTCTTTTTAGGTTGGTTGGAGAGACGTCTTGTTGTAAGATACTGTACGCACTATTTTTTATTTTACTCTTCCATTCAATGATTCTTGTTTATTGCTAGATCGTTGCTTTCATCTGCTTCTTCCCAGTACTTTGTGGTGACCATGCGTTGAAGAGTAGTGCTGCCTACACATGACATAGCTGTCATTGATCTGAAATCTTGATTAACCTCCTCCTAAGGATTAATGTAAACTTAGTTTTATGGATACAGATGACAAAACGGCCAAAAAATATTTACTTCCTATTGTTCACCGGCGGAAGCCTCATCTAATAGGCAACACTCGCAAAATATGTGCACAGCCGCCAACTACTCACCACAAGTGACACTGCTCTAAAATCTGTGGGCTGATTCAACTTCTTTGACCAGTTTTCCCTTTGAATGAAGATCTGAACGATGACATGAAGTCAAATTAAAGCCCTGGCACGCCGCAACCGCGTCGCAAGGCCGGCAAATGTCTCTGTGCTCTACAGGACAGGGGTTTCTGATATAGATGAGGTTGAGGATACCCGTGAATCACCCGCTCGGAATGCAGATGAACCACGGTGTTGGTGTAAGGCCAGCGGTGGGTGCCTAGAACACCCTCTGGTTGCAACTGCACAGCCACTTGCGATGGGCCCACTAATACTCGTGACTACCAGAGATCATGATCGGTGGAGTAGTTCGGCTTGACGCTTGGAGATGGGAGATAGTGGTGTGTTGATTTAATTACGCATCCAATGAGCTTGTAGTGCAAAGGGCGCGGCATAAAAGAGGGAGGAGGGCGCAGTGCAGGTTGCCGGAGCTGGGCTGAGGTCCCAAGACAGACTGGAGTTGCCTGTGCAGCACCAATGATATTCCATCTTTTCGCATCAATGTCACTGCATCGATATCCAAATGGCGCACGGCGTTTTCGACGTTCTGGCTATTGTTATCGCCCCAAAGTAAGTCGAATCCGCTCATCAAATGCCAAGTATCTTGCAGCGACTAAATTTCCCTGCATGCAGCTTTCCATGCACAGAAGAAATCTTCTAGTATCGGCTATTCACTGCCGCCCTCAGTATTTCAATGACCTCAAAAGCGGTCGAGAAGAGCTTAGCAGATACGCAGTTAGCGTTTGTCGGCCGAAATAAAAGCTTGTAGTACGGAAGCGGGGTATATTACCGCCATTTCTCGTGCGGCTTTTTGACGTAAGTAGTTCAAAGCAAGCGGCTTTGTAAGATCAGCATTTGTAAGACGCGGCTTACTACAGCAAGCTATCAGGTCAAGTGTGCGGCCCTAATTACTACTTTCTCCTGTCGATTGCTGCTGCCATCGTTCAGCTGGTCAAATAATCTGGATGGCAACCACACTAGCGGGTCAAGCCCAGCCAGCGCGTCAGCTCTATAGCTACGTGCTTCAACCACAACTGTACAGCGACCATCACCATCCGGATCGCCAAAACACACCAGAAGGACCAATTTCCATTGCATTTTCAAAGTCTAGTCGGCGTACTATCCACACCAATAATGACCTGGTCAAAGGCGTAGTCCACGTCAAAGCACGATTGCAAATCAAGCGCGTCACGATTAAGTTCATCGGCAAAACAACATGTCGCATTTCCAACGACCGCAACCCTGCGAATCCCCACTGTGCCGAGGTTGAGCTCTTTTGCCATGAAAAGACATTGTCCAGGATCCAGATACCAACTGCGACATGCCCGCCCTCACGAATAGAATACCCGTTTGAATTCCGGTTCCCAGAAAAAGTTGTAGCAACCCCCAAGCTGCAAAATGAAGCCCCATTCAAACCAGACGCACTTTTTGAACACGAGACCGGCCACCAACTCCCACCGTCACTCTGGTGCAATGAAAATAGCATCTGCAACGAGTACTTCCTGAGAGCCGAATACATCGCAGAACAAACGTCCTTCACCCTAAACCCCGTAGTAGTCCACCAGCTCCGCTTCAGCCCCTCAGTCCCTGAACTCAACATACCCAGCCCACTCCCTCTGCTCCCCGCACCACCCATACGTTTTGAACGCAAATCCTGGCCCTCAATCCCAGACCCCTCCAAAGAGCGCCGCGCATCCCTCAAGCGCCTAGCATCGGGCCTCCGCAACAGCAGTACCGAAAAACTCGACGACACCTCCGCGACCTCGCTCCTCGTCCTACGGGCCCCAGCACAGTACCGCGTGGGCGCCCCCAGCATGCTCAAGATCTCCCTCCAAGCCACGCTTACAAACGGCGGCATCGACCAGCAACAGCTGCCCGCCGCCGTCCATCTCCGCGGCATCCGCGCCCAGGTCAGCGCCCACATCGCCTCGCGCGTCCCGCTCGCCTCCGCCGCCACCGGCGACGTCCGCAGCGAAATCACTGAGAAATTCGACCTCTTCAACCACCGCTATGTCAAGCCTGGTATCGAAATCACGCACGACACCACGCTGGATGGGTTACTAGTAAGCACCATTGTGCCCCCGACGTTCAAGACGTATGCTGTGGCGCTGCGCTACGATGTCAAATATAATCTGCTGCTGGAGTGTGCGGGTAAGGAGTCTGAGCATGAGATTGAGATGAAGGATGTGGTTATTGAGCCGATGACGAGACCCGGCGGGCATTTGGGACCACCGGAGGAACCGCCGCCGCCGTTGAGGGAGGGCGAGATGGATGTTGCGAGGGAGATGATGAGGCAAGGCGGTGCGAATGGGGTTGTTGGCGAGCAGATTCCGCCGCCGGCGTATCAGAGATAAGGGGAGTTGGAGGAATGTTTGGATGTGTGGAGGCGATGGGCAAGTTCTATGCGTATGTATAACATATTGTGGAAAAGTATACGATATGATGTCAATCTTTGATACTTGCACTAGACAAGTTGATGTATAGAATGTAACGTGTTGGGCACAGCACATCAGATATGGAGCATTTTGGCATTCTTGAAGTAAATAAAGGCACGATGAAGATATTTATTCAGTCAAGAGAACAACCATTGAAAGACAATCATCTGCCGAATTTCCCGTATCTCAATCTTGAAAAGAAAAAGCAGAAATAAATAACAACCTACTCCTCGACCAATACAGGGTATCCCTCACAATGTCGAACAATAACAAAGGAGCAGAGAGGAAGAAAACATGACATCGTATCAAAAGAGCCTCCCAGTTCTAAGCAAAAACTCCAATTCGCTTACGGCTTCACGCAAGCAACCATGAGTCTCTCGTAATCACCACGCGTCTCCCCTTCTATTCTCTTGACAAGATCCTTCTTGTAAACCTGCTTGTATGCAGCGCTGACTGCATTCATGAGATTTCTGTCCCAGTGGCATCGCACAACACGCTGTACGAGCAGCTCATCTTTTGTGCCCAAGCCAGCCATGGACTCTTCAAGACGAACAGCTTCCGCCTCGGGCCGGTTGATAGCACGGCGCACCAGAAGACGGAGCACATCCTGCATATGACCCGAAAACGATGATTTCAGCACGCTGTCGAAAGGCTTTTGGAATCGCTGTTGGTAGGACTGTGCAATCGCTCTAAGCTGGGCGTCGTTCTTGCTGGTAAGGATCTGGCAGACCTGAGAAGTGTTCTTGCCGGCGAAGCCACCCAGGCTAGCCTGTAGCTGTGTCACGGCTTGGTCAATCTCTTGAGGAACCACAGGATGTGAGTCTTCTGCACGACTTGCTGAGATGATCATGTCATACATCTGCTCGGTACCAGCGCTGAGATCACCCTGGAGATCCTTTTGGAGAGATCTTTTGAAGAGTTCCTGGTACTTTTGTTTGATGATGTTGATATCGGCGTTGCTGCGGCCAACGAGAATGTCATCTAGGATAACTTCCTTTGTGCCAAGACCCTTCATTGCTTCCATAAGGTTGTAGCAGTCAGATACTAGGGGTCCTCGGGCAATTTCCACTAGTCCCCTGCAGAAGTAACCACTGGTCTCCTTTTCGAGGTCCTGGACTAGATTCCGCATTAAGCGTTGTTCGTATTGTACACGAATCGTGCCAATCTGAATCGGATCCTTCTTGGCCAAGATGCTGATAAGTGCCTTTTCATCAGTGCCGAAGCCCTTCATGGCTTTGCGGATAGCCTCAACGTCCTTCATCATGTCAATGTTGGCTGTCTGCTGGCCGTAACCGAGAGACGGTTGGGTTGGCGGGCCGCCATAGCCGCTTGTTTGGGGTGGAGGAGCATATTGACCCGGTGGAGGGGCTCCATACTGGCCCGGTGGCGGGGCCCCGTATTGTCCTTGCGGTGGTGGTGCACCGTATTGACCTGGAGGGGGACCTGGAGGCGCACCATATTGACCTGGGGGGGGACCTGGAGGCGCACCATATTGACCCGGCGGTGGCTGATGATACTGTCCAGGGGGAGGAGCATAACCCTGTGGTGGGGGCGGGGCGCTATATTGACCTTGAGGCGGGCCGTACTGGCTTGGAGGAGGCGCGCCGTAACCTTGCTGGGGCGGGTAACCGCCGTACTGTTGATGCTGCATGGGTGGTTGAGAGTAACCTTGGGGTGGAGGTGTTTGATACTGTTGTTGTCCGTAACCTTGGGGAGGACCTTCTGGGAGATATTAGTATAAATCCAAGTTTGGCGCCAAGCCACGGCACATGAAGGATGTAAACGCAATCGGGCTGTACAGTAAGCAACGAATGACTTACGACCTGGATATGGTTGTTGGTATCCACCGGGTGGTTGGTTGTAGTATGACATGCCTGCCTAACTTCTGAACAGTGCGGCGCAAGCACTATAGGAAAAGATAAGATCGACGCGCGCAGACTTTACGGTGGCTGCTATGGAAACAGGAGGTGAGATCAATTTCCGAGTCCTGCTTCTTGGAGGGTGCACACAGTAATGGTAGACGGACGAAAGGTGGCCGGGGCTGAGTACCTATGGCTCAGCCTTGGACAGTGGAGGGGTAGTTCAAGCGAAAGAGTTTGGCCATGACGAATTTACCCTTGGCGCCATGGTCAGCATTTTGGCGTGAATGGCTGCGAATAGGAAGGCGTGCCACGTTGTTGGTTTGTAAGGCAGCAGTCCTCGGCTGCCCGACTCCACCACGATCTGGCGCTAGGGGTGGCTGCGTAGTGGCGATGCAGCACAGCCTCACCAACTTGTAGTCAGCACGTGACGTGGGCGCGTGTGGTCTTGTGAACAGATTGCTGGCCCGTTTGAGTGCGAAGTGAAGGGTAGTGCGAAGAGCAGTACGTGTGACTTTTGTATCACCATGGATGACCCTGTTGGATGCTCCGACAATCGGACAGTGTTGTGTACGAGTGGTGTCGCAAGACGTAATACAAAAATTCCATGGGATTATCTGCCGAAGACACTGTCCATAGAAGGATTCGATCATAAACTCACCTGCAACAAGATTCTTTTGTTCTGTAGTAACTATGCATTTGCGTGCATAGGTTTCTATTTGTACTACATACATACTACACACTCCACCGGTAGAAACGATAGCGGCATCGCCCAATCAATGGCACAGAACGTTGCCAAGCTCCTGCCATAACACTACTGCAACACCTGCAAGCGATCGGCAACCCTCCAGCTCATCTCCACCAACAACATGTGTTCCCTGCCCACCATCGAAGCTTCGCTAACGTCGGGAACCTTAACGGTTTGGCCCGTCTCCGCGCACAACCTTTGGCTAGAGCAGTGACATCATAAGCCGACCACTTCGTGATGCCCCTCACGTTGCCACCATCCGTACGCTACAACCGTACGGCGTGACTTGGCGGCCAAACTGGATCGCAAGAGAAGATGCCATTTGGTGGGTGGTGTCTCCCGTCATAATTATGTATACGCGGTGCATGTCGACCTAGTGTCAGATGGGACCGTTTAGAGCTTTGTAATGCTAGCCAAGAGCGCAAGGCTTGGAGGGATGAGATGCAGTTAATATATATTGAGGCTTGATACAGCAATAGGCGCGACGTCCCATAACGACTACTGCTAATCTGTTATCAATTGCCGTCATCTAACTCGGACGCGAGACGCACAACCACCAGCCCCATACGCCATACATCCAGCCCGTGTCGATCGGACAAGGTTTGAAAACAGGGCCAAGGGCAAACAACGCAGCACAAGAGCCCAGCACCTTGAGAGTACGCTGGGCACACAGATACTCGAATTCATAAACGCCACTCAGTCCCTCGCACGCACATACGCACGCACGCACGCACGCACGCCAGCCAGCATCCTGTAAACCATCCAACCCAATTTCAAGATGTCGTCCTACGACTCCAACAAATCCAACTACCTCCACACTCAATACCAGCAACACCCCCAAGCACCGCCTTACCCCACGACTCCCAACGCCCCCCAGTCTCCAAGCTACTTTTCGCAAATGCCTCAGCAGCAATCTCAGCAAATGTACTCATCCTCGCCTCCCTACACTCAACCTTCATTTCCCCACCAGCAATCGCAACACCAACAAACCCGTCACACCCGCACATCCTCCACATCTTCCATGTCGCACAGCTACCCCCCACCCCCGGGACCCCCTCCAGCCTCGCACTCAGGCCAACAACCAATCGGCATCCCAATCCACCAACCCACCCCACATCATTACCATCCTTACGCATCTTCCTACCCCCCTCCTCCTGCTCCACCGACATCAACAAATTACACACCGCACGCTCGTTCAATGTCGACATATAGCCACCATCACGAGGATGAGCATGGCAGCAGGTACGGGAATGGGAACGGGAATGGGAATAGGGATGGGAATGGGAATGGGGAGTTGGATTCAGAGACGGAAAGAGAGTATAAGCGAAGGTATGCGAGGGAGAAGAGGGTGGAGAGACGACCGACGCTGGGAGGGAGTTTGTTGAGTATGGTTGATGCGGTGGGGAAGGCGTTTGGAGGGGCGGGAAGGCATTGATTTGGATTGACTAGATTGTTGGAAGGGCGGGGGGGGGGGGGGGGGT